TGCTCAAACTGAGGCTTATAAAGGCTGTAACCTTAATTGACAAGTGGCAGGTGTGAAGATTGTTATCGATAGTAAATGTACTCCTGTGACCCAAAAGAGAACTATAGCCAAAAAAAAAGGTTTGGCTATAGTTCTCTTTGAGAGTAGAAACACCAAAAATAATACAATAAAAATAGTCCATGAAAAGATAAAAAAAATGGTTTTGCTGCAATACTTCCCTTCAATCCAGAGTTGTCCTCAATACTTATTTTGTGCGACAAGGTTTCCTCTGCTTTTTGGGTTCAATAACATCCAGCATTATTCAACCCACTTCCTGTGCCCAGACCATCATGTACCTGCCCCCAGTCTTTGCCTGAACAGTGAAGGATGAGCAGTACGGCAATGAGCTCATCTATGTGTTACTGTGTTGTATCCTTCAATCAGCATGTTCCTTGGCAGCTCCTTTCCTGCTTCTTCCTCTCCTACTCTGAGCTCTGCTGTATAGGGACACCAAAAGACTGATAACAAGTCGAATCTAGGTACTTGAAATGCTTGCATTACAAAAAAATATAGAAATATATAGAAATACAAATATGTAAAGTTATATATATTTTATTACAGTAGAATGTTTAAATTAGTTGAACCTTCTTTTGGTCCTGTCCGCTGATCAGAGAGTTCTGGGAAAAGGTGGCTGATATCTGCAAAAGATTGACTGGCATTGGTCTAGGGTCCGACCCCGCTGAATACTTACTGCACCTGGCTCCTACGCCATTACGTCGATACAAGAAGTCTCTGTTAGTAAGGTATGCATCCCGCTATACTGGAAGCGCACATCAGCACCCCCAATCTCACTGTGGCTGTCGAGGATTGGGCATATTTATAGAATGGAGGATCTCTTGGCCTCTGCTAACCACAGGGTTTCCCAATTTAACCGTACCTGGTACTACTGGACGGAATTCACTGCGTCCCGAGATTACTTAGCCTTAATGGGAGAGGAATAGTGTAAAGTCCAGTTGAGTCTCGCAACGGCAACTGACCCTCTGGGGGCGGAGATGTATGAACGCACTTGCTCAGGATACACCAGTGACTGAGAGTCAACGGCCAGGAATCCATACTGGGTAAAAAGTTGGTTGGCTGTCTCTGATTCCGCACTGGCAAATAAATAGATGTATCTCTTGCATCTGTCTTTCTACCTTCCGGCTCCTTCCTTCCCCTCCCCTTCTCTTTCTTCTCTATCCCCTGACCCAGTGCTACAAGGTATGCAAATACAATTTTGTGCTCTTGTTAATCCAGGTTGACATTAGCCAGCTTGGATAGAGTTATCTAAGAAAGTGCTGATATACGAGATTGTAGAATACACACTCATAAACTCAGATCTATACTACCGCTGCCTGTTTCAAGCTATATTTTGATGTATGTTCTATACACATGTTTTTCTATTGTATTGAAAAAATCTATAAATAAAGAATTTAACTAAATAAAGAATAAAAAAAAAAAAAAGTTAAACCTTTTTTCTTTCCCGGGTCATTGCTGTAGAATATTTGTCTGTAATTTTAATACTTCACATGTACATTGTTGCACAGATTGTCATTCTTACATTCATTGTTACAAAGTGTTTTCCACAAAAACTTGTTGTCTACAAAACAATAGATGTTTCCCTTAGCTATATTTGATGTATGTTCTATACACATGTTTTTCTATTGTATTGAAAAAATCTATAAATAAAGAATTTAACTAAATAAAGAATAAAAAAAAAAAAAAGTTGAACCTTTTTTCTTTCCCGGGTCATTGCTGTAGAATATTTGTCTGTAATTTTAATACTTCACATGTACATTGTTGCACAGATTGTCATTCTTACATTCATTGTTACAAAGTGTTTTCCACAAAAACTTGTTGTCTACAAAACAATAGATGTTTCCCTGGGGCAACAGGTCTTGTTATAGCAGGAGACTTTGGCACTTAAGTTGAGAAGTCTAAGCCACCTGTTCATATAATATAGATTGAATTCATCATGCACATAGCAGAAAATAAAACTAGCCATTGTTGTATGCAGCCTCGGGCTCAATCTCACTTAGCAATGAGAGAATGCTGGGCATAAGTTCAAGTTTATTCATAAGGGATCCCATGTGACCAATGTAAACCGTGGATATTTGAGCAGCGCAGTTGCAATACTTACTGGCCTGAGGAATTTCTTGTGACCACGAAAGATATGAAATTTGCTTTTACTGGGTATTCAATAACAGCCAAGAAAGCGATATTCAGATCTGCTACAGTCTAGATCATTTTGACATCTTTTACAATAGTTTGTGATGAAAGCGATCGTACCCAAGTAGGAATCTCTGACAGTATGTGGCATATGTATCCAAGGAGGTTTCTGTGACCCACTTAGAAGTGCACCTCAGCAGTGTTCCTCCTATGAATTTAAATAAGAAAGGCGTAGAGTGCATGTTGTAAATTACGCTGCTGAACATAACCACTACTTCTAGTAGAAAATACCAAATTCTTGCTACCCTTACATTATATGTATTTGGTGTTGATGGAGCTGATTAATTAGAATGAGCCAGGTTCTTTTTAATCAATTACGGGGTTAGTCAAAAAAGGGTGAAGAGTTTGGAGAAGGCAGGAGAAGTGAACAATCTAGGACAACATAGTTGAATTGGAGAATGTTTCCAAATCAGATATGTTGTCCTAGATTGTTCACTTCTTCTGCCTTCTCCAAGCTCTTCTTCCTTTTGTGAATAACCCTGTCATTCTTTGAGGTACTTATTGCTTATTGCCATATGTAACCCAAGGCCAATCCTGAAAACCCAATCCTTCTTAAACTCCTCTGCCTAGTAGAGAGCACTAAAGTCTTAGTTACCTATCTATAAAAGCTTATTTTAGTAGAGTCAACCTTATGTTGCTTCCATAGTGGTGAGCTTTCAGACCCAGAGCCATTTGGGATAATTTGAATTAACACTACAAGTAGACTTATATGTTTTTTAGATAACCGGAGTTTTGAACGCACATTGTGTATCAGGTGGATGCCGGCTCAGTTCAGCCTACAGAGCTATTTAGCAGAGTGTTTTGGTTTTTTTTGCACTCCGCTTGGATGTGACAAACTGCAGGGTGAAATTTACTAATCCAAAGTGTGGAAGGAAAGAGCAATCATAAATCGATTGCCCTTATCAGTTGTGGGTACAGGGCTTTGGAGGCAACTGGGGGTATTCTGACTCCGATCGTTGTGATAGCGATATATCCCTTGCTGAGACCTCTATGCCTGGCCTGTATAAGCAGATATACTCACTGCGGACAATCCTTGTCAGATAGCTGATGTGTCACTGGTGTCACTCCCACTCCACACAAATTGACTGTAACAATTTGTGTGGAGTGGGAGTGACACCAGTTGAGCAGCCCACAGGACATTGGGAGAGAGACTTGCCTCTATGTCATGTGTGGTGTAGTGGAGAGGCAGGAGTTAAAAATGCATGTGATATGCTGTTTTCATCCTAGCCTGAGGCCAGAGCAGCAGTGCTGTGAGTGAAAGCCAAAAGGTTGGATGTGCCTGTATTTCTGGGATAAAGAACCCCTGTGAGGGTAATCACATAGTTTTGTGAATGTTCATTTAATAAAAGTGGGCAAGGAAGCCCTTAAAAGAAGTGATAAGCGAGTGGACTCCGTCCTTAATGTGCTACCGTTGAAAGCTAATCTCACAATATATATATATATATATACATATAAATCAAACTCCTTCTGCGCTAATATCTGCCCAGCTACAGCTGCCCACACTATTGTGAATATCTCACTCAGAATTACTCAGAATTACTATACATAGTGTGTTGCTAAAGTGTACACTCTATTTCTCTTAATCTATTTCTCTTCCTAAATAAACAAATCACGAAACACCAACTGTGCAAAATGGAAGTTCTGTGCAAAGTAATAAATTAAGTCCCCAAAGAGGGAATCCACAGTTCTATCTCCACAGTCCGAAATAAAACAGACACAAAGCATGTTCATCCTTGTACTTTGATCCTTTCCACATGTGAAAACCACTATCCGCCATCCCTCACTCGGTCCAATGATGATGGGCATTCCCCACCAACCCCCCTCCACCTATATGCAGCACCCTCTCCAGTCCTTCAGCTTGTGGGAAACAGCCAGAACACAGCCAGGAAAGGCACTCAATGCTACCGCTGCCCTTCCACCGCAGTGCTCACCGCTCCCTAAGAAGTTTTTGTATTCACCGCTCCCTAAAAAGTAAGGCTATTACAGATTTTTTTGTTAATGTTTTAGTGCTTCAGTCTTTGCTGAACATCTCGGTGCAGGTAGCTTGCTGGAGATCTGGATCACAGCTCTTACACAGAGTACAGTGTTCAGGATCTCCTGTGTTACAACATGACCTCCTACACAGCTCTCCAATCAACAAGGCTCACACTTGCTGAGCAATGCTGTTGATTAGAGCACTGTGCAAGATATATGTCAGACCCCTGGAGATCCTGGGTACTGCACTCTGTGTAAGAGCAGTGATCTGGATCTCCAGCATGCTGGCAGCACATGGATGTTCAGCAAAGGCTGGAGCACTAGAGATTTAAAAAAATTAAAAAGTCTGACACCCTGACTACATAACAATAATAAAAACATGGCTTCAGTTGGGCTTTAAAATATCTAAATCCCACTTAGGTTAACTTTTTTATGGTTCTGGATGGAACAATGCAACAATATTAAAAAAGCATGGGTACAATTTGGCTTCGTTAATTGTTGAAATAAGAGCCTTAAAAAGACCAAGCATAAGTTCATAATATATTTTATTAAGCAATGAATATTAAATTATTTCTAAATCAACAAGTAATCATTGCAATGTGGAAAAAAATCATACTACAATGCTTCATGTAATGAAAAATCATAAGTAAATTATATTACACAGATTAGAAGTTAAAAAGTTAATTTGCATCACCCTGAGAAACAAATTCAACATTTCTTATAATATAAAGTGATTTAAGGAAATCATTTGCAGCATATATTACTATGACTACTTAAAGTGCTTATTTTCCATTGAAGGTGAAGTTATCCACTCCATTCTTCTCAGTCTGAGATGCCCGAAGTTTTGCCATTTTATATAAGATAAAACTGGCAATCGACAAAGCAGCCCCCAATATTACAGCAATAACCAGTCCAACAATAAGTCCAGTTAAAGTTCCCTCAAGCTGCTTCACTTCTGACCCACCTAGAAAAAAACACAGAATACCATGATTATTTATCTTTTTGAGAGCTTAAATACTTAATTGATCCTGTTTTTTCATTTATGTAAACATCCACTGGAGGATGTTAGACAAGCTTTTCACAGAGGATTACATGTTGTGCTGACTTATCTCTGTTTAATTAGCGGACAGCAACAGGTATCATTTAATTGCTTGCTTGTATTATGTGCTGATGGTTAATGCCCTTATGCTTTGATTTTGAGTCCCATTCCCGTGGCTTGCTATTTTCTATTTTCAAGGCAGCCCACCTCTGAGACCCGTGCCATTCTAACATAACAATGTTGATATTTAAATGTTCCATAACAGTGTATTTAAAGTGTATGTCTGGGAGGAAACAGGTACATCTCTCTAACACATGCAAACACAGAAAAATGTTTGCTGATTCTGCCAGAAAGCCTCTGAGCTCCTAACTTCCTGTGCCTCTGCTGCACTGAAATCTCAATTGGTGTTTTCAGCTTTGCCTAGTTCACCTTTGTGAACAACAGAACACCTCCCTTTGTGTTATAAGTGTGAATCATTCTTGGTTTTAGATACACTTTAAGTTTTCTCAGCTATAGGATTTCTATTTAACCTATATATATTTGTGAAAAAGCTGATGCTGACTCCTTAAAACATTATTTGGCCAGACAAGGTTTGCCTTCTTGTGGAAGTTGCATGGTTGTTCTGCCAAAGCAGAAACCGTTCATAATGTTGCAGTGATGTGTTTGCATTTGTAGAATTGTAAGGTACTTATCAAGTTTTTTTTTCCATACTGGTACCCATGGGCCAGGTCTAGGGTATCAGGGTATAAGAGTCACATGGGTGCCACCAAGCACCAACGCTCTTTACCATTTACTATGCATGGAACCATGTCTTCTTTCTCTTTTTTGGTGGTCTTTAAATTCAAATATTGGTTTGGCAATGTTTTAGTATTCTAAAATAGCAATTAGCAATCTGCCCAAATTATTTCCCAAAAAAGAGGATTACTAATTATTTTTTTGTATTTTTTGTATTATTGTTTTTTTTTGTATTTTTTTATTAGAGATCTCCTGCTTTATCTAATTTGGAATTGTTATTCTTAAGTGTATTAATGCATAAAAACCGATTAAAATAAACTCTGCAAAGTTAGGTGAGTACAAGTGGGATTCCTATAACTGTGAACCATCTGAACCATTGATAGAATAAGGCCACTCAGGCATGCCTATAATGTCAGGCATGTCTATAATAAATGGTTGTATTCAGTTAGCCTCAGTGAAAACAGCAAAAAACAAATAAAGGTACTCACTACTTGACTGGGGTGAGATTTGGCCTGTTGATTCTAAAGGAAACAAGAAAACAAAAATCAAAGAAAAATGTATGCACAATATAATACTAATTAGTAGAGCACTGACATTTAAAAATGAACTTCAGCCAAGCAGATAAATACAAAGCTGAAATGAATATACAGTATAAATACTGCTTTACTTGCCAAGAGAATTGTAATAGTGCTCAGATATGGTTTGTTATCGAAGTACCTCTACCAGACAGCATAGCCAGTTTAGTGACCCAGTTTCCTTTAAAGGAGAACAATGAGGTGAGTGATTTTCACTCATCCTCATAGTTAGAGCCGACGTGTGACAATTAAACTGTCACACATTGGCTCTATCGTTCGGGAAGTGAGCGAACACATACCGTCACTCACTCAATTTCCTATCATCTCCCTGCAGAGATCGGTGACTGTCAGTCACCGCTCCCTGCAGGAATTCCCCCCTCCCCTCTCTGACCCTCTAGCGCTGACTGGAGGAACGAATGGGGGAGGGGGTGGGCACAGCTGACTCTGCCTGTAGATAGGCAGAGCCCGCTGTCAATCAGCCAGCTGGGTGGATCTCGACAGTATTATCGGGATCCGTCCCAGCTGCAGCGCTCTCGGTATATAGCTCGCTGTAGCTGCGGGTCATGGGAGTGCAGTTGCCGAAACTATTTCCTACTTATTTATTTTGCTTTAGGCAGAGTGGGAAGGTGGTAATACCTCTAAAAGATTATGACGGTATTTTTGGCATTGAGGAGGATTTCTTACTCAATGATGAATATTCACTTATGATCTGTTGGGTGCAGTGGATACTTCAAGAGAAGCCAAAGTATAATTCACTAAAATATGTAATTCATATATTCTAAAAATTAAAGATTTGTCTGCCCCTTTTGTACTATAAAATATATCAGATGAGTTGAATTACCCTTTGAGATTGTAGCAGGAAATGTCTTCTCTATATTAAGCTGGCCATACATATATAGATCTTCTGCTTTTCTAGGGTCAGATGGAAAAAGAGCAACAGATTCCTCCATCTACACTAAACTGTGTGGCTGGAAGAATCTCACACTGGGCCAAGCTTCAGTATCTTGCTAGTCGGCCCTGCTGGCTCTCAAAATACCTGAACAATCTGATTGGATGCAGGCATTGTTCAGGTATTTTGAGAGCCAATGGGGCCGACTAGTAAGATACTGAAGCTTGGCCCAGTGGGAGATTCCTCCATCCACACAGTTTAGCGTAGATGGAGGAATCTGTTGCACTTTTTCCATCTGACCATAGAAAATCTGCAAATAATCTGTAGATGTATGGCCAGCTTAAGTCACATCTTCTATCAATGTTAAATACATATTTCCTAACCTGCTTCACTTGTGACGATAGGTCCAGATGACACAGTGACTTGTTCGGTGGCTCCTCTGGTTGCTGCCACATCTGCAGCTCTTCTCCTTCTTGCTCCAGCAGTGGTTGCAGGGACCGCACCATTGCAAGACTGTATGTTTGGATTAATATAATATAGTTATTTACTTCCAATTAATATAATGGTAATATAATAATATAGTGGTACCATATTGTGCAGCATTTTACAACAATTAGAAAGAAAAAAACATTTCCTTTCACATAACCCCAGCTTTTTAACCCAAGATAGTAGTCATGGTGATAGGTTTCTAAAGTCAATGTATATATTGTGGGAGAGAGGTAATGCCCAAAGTTTTCCTCTCAATTTAAAAGGCTTTATTTTCCCTTTTGACTTTACAAAGTGTGGGGCACACAGGTAGAAATTTATTTTTGTTAAAGAAGAACTCCGGACAAAATCTTCATAACCCTTGCAGTGGGGCTTCCCTCACAATGCAAGGGTTAACTAACTAACTTGTTTTGGTCTAGGGAGAAAAAAAAAGTTATACTCACCCAATCATCAGAGCCGTCTTGCTCTTAGACCAGTCCCTGGAGCCTCGTTCCCCCTCTGCTGCAGTGTTCTAAGGTCCCTGAGTCATAACGTTCTATACACAGTGTAAAGGACGTGAGGACACTTAGGGACATACCGTTGCTGGAGTGGAGGAGGAGACAGGCAGGAGGGAACGCTGTGACAGTTGGGCGGCTTGGAGGATCGGGTCAGTATAACTGTTATTTTCCTTCCTAGACCAAAACGAGCAATTAACCCTTGCAGTGCGGGGGTTGCCCCCTTCTTTAACTGTTTGTGCATCAAAAGATAAGAATAAGCCAGGTGTGTGAGGGCATGAACTGGTGCAATGGTATTGCAGAAATGCTGAACGATATTGTGCACACTTGTGAAATAAATGCTTTCAGCAAGCAATCACTTTTGTGGTGATCTGTTGCCAGAATAGAAAGCAGGGCAAGGCTGAATGTGCTGAAAACAATGACACAATCCTGTAATGCTTCCACAAACAAGTAATGCTATTTGAGCTATGTAAAAACACAGAGAGACATAGAAAAGTTGGTATTTGAAGCTTTTTCTGCCATTAACATCAAACGTGCTTAGTTTACTTTTACGAATAGATGTTGGTTAATCCTTATTAGTCAAATTCATTAAACTCAACTCCAAAAATATCTATAGGGGGTTATTCACAAAGCTGCCGAAGGCCGCCGAGTGAATAACCCAGCTGAAGAGAAGTGAGCCGAACACTGTTCGGCTATTCACTTCAGGCTTGTACAGCTGATTTCAGCCGTACATCGGCTGAAATCAGCCATACAACGGCTGCCTTCGACTGCACTTCGGTCAGCCAAACATGCTCTGCATGTTCGGCTGAACCGAAGTGCAGAAGGACTTCGACTCAGCCAATCCATCATCTCGATCGGCTGAGCCGAAACTCTGGCAGCTCACTCGCTGCTCTTCGCCCCTATTCACATAGGGGCCAAATGGAAGTGAGTGAATAGCATGGCATTTGGCTCAGCTATTCTGCTCGGTACCTCCGAGTGAAAAGAGTGGGGGGGAGTTGAAAATTTTTTTTTTTAAATGTAAATAAATGTAAAATCTAAAGAAAAATAAAGATTTCTAAAAAAGAAAAAAAAACAATTGGGCAGAGCTAGCAGTGACAGCTAGCTCTGCCCAACTGTTTCCTATTGGCCATCACCTGCTAGAGTCTTCTAGCAGGTCCCGGCCAATGAATAACAACTGGGTGGAGCTAGCTTCGGCTAGTTTTGTGAATAACCCTCTATATGTTTGTTAGGTTTCCATTCGCAATTGAATAGGATATAGCATTTCTGATATTCTAATTGAAATATTTGGAGACCAGTGACTCCTATAGCTCAGCTGAAAATCTGTGCTCAGCCCATTAAGGCCCCGTTCACACCAGGGCGTTGTGGGAATGCGAGTCGTGGGAATGCATGTTGCGGTGCTTTGGTGTGCATCCCATTGATCCCCATTGGCTCCCTGGATGCGCGGCAAACACAGAAAAGTACATTTGGTGACTTGCATTCAGCGGGTTTTTTCTGCGCATCCATGCGCGGGGCAAAACCACGTTTGCTTGACTGCCTTATGGCAATGCAAATGTGTTTTGCGTTTGTGCACACGTTTGATTTGACACACGTTCACAATATGCTCTGGTGTAAATGGAGCCTAAACCATGCTTTGATGTACAGGCAAACACACACAAATAGCAGTAAAGAGCAGGTATAGAGCCATGTTCCCCCCAACCAAAATGTAGAGATCAATTTTGGATGGTTTTTACTATGTATGTTGTACTCAAATCTACCAAAGAATACCATCAAACATTATTGCATGCACTATGTTAACGTTTATTTTAGGGGTAGTTGTGAGCAGTTTACTGATTGTTGTAAATAAGTAGACGTACCTGCAAATAATCTTGACATGTCTGAGGTTGACACAGCCTTGTTATGCAGTGCACATAGATGGTTGATGTTGGCAGTCCGCCGTGCTGCAAGAACCGGAATGTCTCAAAATTGAATGACGCTGATTTGCCATCTCCATTTTTTAAAATTTTGGTCTTGTTTGCCGGAAAACACCTTGGCAGAGCGTAGCAATAAACAAAAAGGTTGAAAGCATCTCATGCATAAAATCTGATTTTCAACTAAAACAAGACTTCCAACTTTCTTAATTCATGAATGTAAAAAGTCAAAGTGTAATAATCCATCAGAATTCATCTCTGCATCAGCTGACTATCTGCCTAAATTGGTTTCTTATTAATTTTACAATCTAGTTTTGTTTTTTTGCATTATTAAATAAGCCACTATACGTTGTCAAAAACATTTATTGTTTAAATTGTGTTTCCAGTCATATTTGAGAAACCCCCTCTATATGTTTGTTATGTGTTCCTATTCACACAGCATAACTAAAGATATTTTTTTTTAAATATTTCTTGCCTTTAGATGTTTTGTTGCAGCAGGCAACATGGCTGATTCCAGATTTTTCGCAGCACCTTTGAAGTGATCTGTCCTTATAGAAAGACTTAAGGTCCCCACACACCTTACGATAATCGTACGATAATCGCGGGAAATCCCGCGATCGTACGTTTATCGTAAGGTGTGTGGAAGCCATGCGACCTTACAGTAGTAGAGGTCGCACGGCTTCCACACACCTTACGATAATCGTACGATCGCGGGATTTCCCGCGATTATCGTACGATTATCGTAAGGTGTGTGGGGACCTTAAGTCTTTCTATAAGGACAGATCACTTCAAAGGTGCTGCGAAAAATCTGGAATCAGCCATGTTGCCTGACTTTAAACTTACGAACATGTTTGCAAACCCGCCGAGCATCGTACGATGTTCGGCGGGTGTGTAGCATGTTCGCAAGATAAAAGCCGGACGGGCCGGTGTGCGCAAGCGCACACTGCCCCGTTCGGCATTGCGGTCATCGGAAGCCCGCCCCTCAGGGGGCGTGGCTTGCGATCATCGCAAGCACGATCTGCCTATGCAGGATAGGCAGATCGTACATTTTTTTAAGTACCATACAACCATCGCAAGACAAAAGTCTTGCGATGGTTGTAAGGTGTGTACCCAGCCTTAGGACAGAAATGTGTGGATTGTGTTTTTCTCATTAACTTCATTAACATACAATGGAGAAGCCAGGCATTTAATCCTTTCACCACTTACCACCACAGCCCCTCCCAACATTACAAAGAATGAGAGTATAAATTATAACCCTTAAAAAGCCAGGAAACCCTAACCCAAGTAAAAGCAATGTAAACTGCAACTGAAGTATTTTTTATTTATTTTTAACCTATGCTATGTCAATGGAAACATGTAATAATTATAAAATAGGTGCTGTCCTAGTTTGGCTGTGAAAGTAGAAATACACTTTAAGTCTGTGAATGTTCTTATTTATGCAGGTCATGGTAACGCTGGTAGTAGTTATTCACACTTAACTGGACTTATGAAGTTTTTAAGCTTATCCAAGCTGCTTCTACAGTTCTAATGAGTGTCAGAAACATACCCCAGTATGTTTCTGGGTAACATGGGTAGCTCAGTCACCCCAGAATGTATCAAGTTAGATATTGATTGTTCAAGAACATTATGGGTTATATAACGTTCTGTGAAACCACCCTGTTTTAATTACATAATTCCATCCCTTGGTGTCAGACAGTCTGCATGGGTGTTAACCCTTTGATTTACATGGCTGACACTCTTTAGAACTGAAGAAGAGGCATTGATAAGCTGCTAATTGTCTTCAACATTACAGAATATGTCTAGCTGAATGTGACTAACTACTGCTGGCTGTAATTCTTAAGTCAAAAACAAATGTTTCAATCCAGAAAACATGAAGCTTTGAAGTGGATATTACTGTACTAGCATATACACTGGCGCTCCATTACATTCTCAAATTTTGTAAGTGTGTCAACAAACACCCTAAGCAGCTGGTGGTAGGGCTACCCATAAACAAATGGTTATAATGGAAGGAATATTATGTCTAAGTTTTGCCCCAGTGCTTAATATAACACCCACCATAGTGATTAAATGAAAACTCTAACTGTGGTCAGTAAATCATAGCAGCCATTGAGTAAACCTAGCATCCAGTTTTGTAGACCACCAAAGACATAAAAACTAACACAAACTACTGCTCAGGCTATTGTTAGTCATTTCTTCCATTTGGGTCTCCAAAATTGCTAATCATGATGGGGCAGTTCCCTTAAATTGTCTGGACCAAGCTAATTTAAATAAGTCTTCAAACCCTCTTGCCTTAATAATTTACTTTTAAACCCAGCTTCTGCATTTTGTCTACTTCAGCTAAAAATACAAATTACACTCCATACCACAGAAAGACCTGTTATAAAGTAGTGGATGTTGTAGTGACTGGATAATGGATGACTCAATCATGTACAAGTCAGAACATATGTTACTATCCCCAGCCCTCCAAGATCACTGAAACAGTGATTTTATTCATTCATGTTCAACATGTGTGATGGTTTACAGTCTTGAAAGGAAGGACCTCTCCATGAAGGCAACAGTTAGTCCAGCTAACAGGCCAGAGAAACCACATGCCTTTAATGAACTAGTCATTGCTTCTATTCAGTTGAAGCTGTAAGAAAGGAGCCCACTCATTGTGACCATACATCTCTAAAGTGGCCCTTGTGGCTGAAGCTACTAAAGCGCAACGTACCCAGTAAGTAGGCCAAATTTGTCACTAGTTGTTGCCAGTGGTGATGGGGTTGCAAAACACTCATCCAGAAGAACATTGAAGCTAGATTAAAAAGAGGAAAAACATAATTAGAAACTGATTTTCAGTTATATGGTTAATATGGGAGACGTGAGTAAATTGTCCCTAATGTTTCTTAACAATATTATGCTATATTTATGGGTTAAGTATTGTATTGGTCTGTAGCAGCTCCAAGTCATGTGTTCAAATTCCACTAGGGCATATCTGGTGGGGTTTGCATGGGTGTGCATCAGTATTCTCTCCCAAGCCAAAAACATATAGGTAGCCTAAAGTAACTCTGTCACTATATTGTCCAAATAAGTTAAACCAACCCTGTAAATTCACCACATAGAAGATCCCTGGCCATTGCAGGTATGCATTACTTGCAGGTGTGTCAAATACCTACTCCTCTGCAGCACCCTGTGGTTCCTCTCTCTGAATTGCATGTCTTCTAGTGGCAAAGAAGGCAGCTGGAGAAACCATTGTGTGTGGTGGGGAAAGCAGTGATCTGACGCTCCCAGTAGTGTCACATAACTGCATTGGCTGAGGATCTGCATTTACAATGGATTTTTAAGACATGGGCTACCAAGTAGGTTTAAAGCATATTCAGAGTGGGTTTTAGTTTAATTCCATAGCAACAAGAACCAGAGATAATGAGTGGAGGGGCTGCATGACTGGGGGGAGGAATAGTCCCTGGAGAATGGGTTAAATAAAGTGTGAATGAGTAGATCTTACCTGATTGGAGGTTGGGGTCAGGTGTCGGGGAGGAGCCCCTGCAAGGGCTGATGGGTGTTCTTTCTGGAAAGTCGGCGGAGGAAGCAAGTTGTCCCACCCGCCTTCTCTTATTTTTTGTGGTTGATGGTTGTTGAAATTTCTTTTTTATGTCATGGAAGCATGGCGGGTTTGAGGGTCTTTGGGGGTCAGTAACTGTGAGTCAGTTACAAAATGGGGGTCCATCAGCTGGTGTGGTGCTTCCCCATGTTGGTGTCAGTATTTGTTGGGGAGCCTGGCCCCCTTGGAATTTGGGAGCAGTAACTGTCCTCCAGCTGGTTGGGGTGTGGCTGGGGACATGGGAGCAGTTTTAGAAGAGGCCTTATTTGGACTGATGGGCACCCAAAGACCCCTTCTTGGATCCAACAGTCATTCAGATTACTTATTTGTATGTTATTTTGATTACTACTTTTGGTAACTGTTAACTTTTGTTTGGTTAATAAAGGGCTGCTGTGGCCATTTAAATCCATATTCTGCAGTCCATCTGTTTATTGGTGTTTTTAACAGAGGGTCGTAATAGGCAAATCCATCATTCTGTAGGGTCATTAAACTCTAAGCACATTAAGGGTAAGTAGGAAACAGAACCTTACTTGGCAGTTAAATTCGTGGCTGCCACTTGAACATATACATTCTTTTTCAGTGGAAGAGCGGTTCCATTAAGCTGCAATGGTATGGTGAAATTTGCATCCTGTAAAAAAAAACATTTATTTAGGCAACATGAAAATATAGATACATATACTGAATTAATTGCATTTTTACAATCCTAGTATTATACTTAAAGTGACACTACATTTAGGAGTTAAGCGTTAAAAATGCATTCAAGTACCTTAACTATAAACAAAAATGTATCTTATTTGTGTATGACTCAGTTGTAGATCTTCAAATCATCTCTGAATTGGTGCTTCTTTCTGGGGGGTGGCAACTTTTGTTCTCCGTGATCCCTGTGTGTGTTGTATTACCGTAGGGAACAAAATAAGCCACCCCTCAGAAGGTAGGACAGTGTCAGCATGAATTCAGAGATGATTTGAGGATTTAAACTTGAGTGATACAGAAATAAGCTACAGTTTGCCTTATAGTTAAAGTACTTGAATTCATTTTTAAGATTTAACTCCTGAGTTTAGTGTTACTTTAATGGAAACCTGTCATAAGAGAAATCTGTAGACTGCCATTGTGAAAAAGCATTAAGTGTAGTGTGTAGGAATTCAGACTTTTTTTCTATATTTTTATAAGTTACAGTTTGTTTCAGATCAGTGACCCAGTATTAAAGTCAAACACAGTTAGCAGACTAGCATTCTAAAAAATTGTCCACAAATGGCAGCCTCCTTGTTTCTTGCATGGCAGGTATCATGAAATAATTACACTTCTTTGCCATGAGGCAGCAGTGTGTATCCAAGGAGGTTCTTCCATTCTTGCTTCTATGGACACTGAATTAACAATTGCAGAATGGGGTTTCTGCAAACCAGCATTCTATCTTGCATATAGTAATGGGAGGCCCTAGAGCGGCCAACACACAAGGAGCTTCTCTCATCATTATCAGTCTGAATATTATTTTATATTAGGTCAAAGTAGAATAACAAGTTAGCCCACAATTGCACACATTGTACAAACAAATAAAACATACCAATCCATTATTGCATGTATAAATATAAATATTATGCATGGTGATTCATTTGAATTGCACTGTTTGTAATAAGAATACTTACAGCGTATAGTTGCATACTTAAGGTGCTGATGAAGCTGCCATTATTTGTGTTGACAGCAACATTTGCTGAAGATCTAAAGTTAAATAAATGTTGATATTTTCAATTAATGAGATTTACTTATATTAGATAACATTAACACATTTTACATAATAACAGATTTTGTCTGTTTCAGTACTGGCCCTGATTTTATTTTCTGTTATCCTGTCAAATTTCCATATTTAAGGGGCCCTAAAAATGTATTTCTTGACAGAGTGCCATAGGAAAAATATTTCCTAATCTTTGTACCCCCAATTAATGTTGTGGAACCCCATTTGAAGTCCTGGCATGGACAATGTGCAACCACAGTCTGAACAATTTATGCTGTCCTGACTGAATTTCAAAGGATAATTGTATTTATTTATTTATTTTCGCTAAACATATGTGCTTGCAAATATTTAGCTACGGTATTGGAAAAGTAGGGAGCAGGGGTAATTAGATATGTTTACAAAGTTGCTTGGCATCCTAAATAAAAAGAGCTAATGCATTTATAAAGTACAGTTATATACATATAATTTTATCCATAAAATGTTTTATTTTTTACTTTATTTTTTAAAAAAGGATGTACTTACGTTAGCAGCTCAATATTGCTCAGTAAGTATTGCAGTGGGTAGTAGCAAGAGAAACTGTAGTTCAGGTTAGTACTGTAGGAAATGAGTCCTGTTTCTGAATTCAGTGGAGTATCCACATATCCTGAGATGACCACTGTCTGTACATTTGAGAATTGTTGGAAGTCTCCAGTTCCAATACTACTCTGAATCTGTGAAAATATATATATATTTTTATTTTTTTTTGTTTTTTTCAGCAGTTCTGGTAAACAGGAAAAAAACAAGAGGCTGCAAATATAATTAGGAAAGTTTTAAAATTATATTAAAGTTAAAAAATGTTTAAGCCATGTCAAATGCTGATTAAATCACTAACAATGGATGCTGCTCCTTGCTGTTTAAACATTTTAGTTTCTTGTAGAATCAGCTGGTCCTCTGAGCACCGGCTATGATATCCAGTTTTAGGGTGGGTCCTTTCCCTTGCAGGGTCCTCTGAAGCCACCGTTGTTGTTCTCTTAAGGGTCATGGGAGGACATATACTAGCATCCTCCCGTGACCCAAAACTCAGTATATCGCAAGCTACAGACCGCCGTAGCCAAGATGGATCCCGACAATGCTGTTGAGATCCACCCAGCTGCGTGAATTACAGCTGGCCCTGCCTATCTAGAGGCAGAGCCAGCTGTACCCACCACCTCCCTGTCCGTTTCCCCAGTCAGCGCTGAAGGATCAGAGCGAGGAGGGGGGAATCCCTGCGGGGAGCTGTGTCTGACTGTCACCGCTCTCTGCAGGTAGATGATCGAGATGTGAGCGACGTTATGTGTTCACTCACTTCCTGATCTATTGAGCCGGTGATGACAGTTTCATTGTCACACGTCAGCCGGACCTATGAGGAGGAGTGATTTTCACTCACTTCATAGTTCTCCTTTAAGGTAAGTATGAAGAACTCAGCAGATCATCAAGACAATAGAAAATATTAATTTAATCAAATGGAGAATAATAAACAATAATAATAATATACAAGTATAGTACAGAGATTCCATAAACATTATAAAAATGATACAGCAATTTAGAGATTCTGTGAAACAAACGTTTATCAAGAAATGAAGTTCAGCTTAGATAAGAAAATATGAGAAACCGCTAGTGATTTTTAGATTGGATAGTGTTTGTGCCAGTCAACAAAGCAAACCTTAAGGCCGGGTTCACACCTGGGCATTTTTCAGCGCAGATCGAAGCGTTGTAAAATGCTCAAACAGTGAAATCCCATACTTCCCTATGGGCATGGTTCCCACCTGGGCGTATTTCAGCCCGTGGAAACGCGCTGAAAAACGCCCTACGCCCAAACAAGTACAGGAGCTTCTTTGGGGCGTTTTTCCACGCGTTTCCATTGGTATTCCCGAGTGTGGCTCGGGGTTAACAAAGCGGTAACCCCGAGCCACACTCGGGAATACACTGTAGAACTTACCTTGTCCGCGATCCCCGCTGTGTCCTCCGGCGGCTGCCGACTTCCGGGTTCCGTCCCTTGCGAGCGACCACGTCGCAGGGGGGCGGAGCCGGCGGGAAGTTTAAAAGTTTAAAAAAAAATATGTTAAAAAAAATAGAGAAAATAATAAAGGGAAAAAAAATCATACCGCACGTTTCACTGAACGGAAAAACGTGCGAAAAAAACAAGCAGAAAAACGAGCAGAAAAAAGGAGCCTATGCTACACTCAGGTGTGAAACCAGCCTTAAATCTAATTGAGTATAGGTAAAACAAAAGAACACTGATATCTATCCATATGTTGGTGTATCATGAAGAACTGAATGGGTATGAATATGCTGAAAGGTAGCTTGTGCCTGTAAGGGCTTTTATTGTGTATACTTTTTTTACATTCAGTACCCCAATAAATTAACTTTATGCAATATATTGGATTGCATGGGCTACAAAGCGTTTGCATGTAAAAGCATGTAACCTCTATAACATTATAAAGTTTTTACAATCAGATATCCTGCCTAACAGCAGACACTACAAGATACCTGATATTATCATTGTTTGCAAGAAAATGTTCTTCCCTGCCCTACCAGTTGCCTTTTTTTCTTTCTTTCAATGAGTTTGTCTTTATTGGCCACTGTGGATCTCCTACTGGACAAGAGGATAGCATTTGGCAGACCTTAGTATAACTCAGACTAATATAGAAATGGTCATAGAAATGGTAATCCTGGCTGACAAATGTACCCTCTGGTGTCTATACTTAGTAGTGAAGATGTTTACATTTAAAACTACTGATAGGTTGGTTTTAAACTACCAAACATAAAAGATCATCTTTGTTTTGCATTTATTTCTTCAATGGAAAATGCTAGCATAATGTGCTCATATTACAACTTATATTAATACTTACCGTAATGACGTTTCCACATGAATTTTGTGTGGTATCATTGATTGGAAATTCAAAATGTACAACTGGGGGATCAACAGAAGAATCAACGCTTCCCACACAATAGCCCAGAGTATGTTTCCCATTAAGGGCCAGAATTCCAGGTTCGAACATGGCATACTTAATGGGGCAGGCATTGATGGACAGTACAATGCTGGATGGTCCACAGGTGACTGTCATATCACTGTTTGCTGATTAAGAGAAGAACAAGAAGATAACATTTATTTGTATTGAAAATACACATCCATTTCCACCCCTCCACATCCTTTTATGGGAATGGATGTAGGGATGTTCCCTTATCCTCATCAACATTGGTTCAAGAAACCATGTCGGAGGAAGTGGGTCTTCCTTGTCCTCCCTGACAAGGTACTCTCCCCATGTTTAAGGCATGAGACCTGGCATGGTTCAGGATGGGGAGGGAGATGTAATTTAGCGACAAATGGTTTTCTTTTTCGTTCTATAATATCACTTGTGTTATAGTACATCTTACAGGTGCAGCATTTCTAGTGCAGATGTAGGGCATCCCCCAAGCATGGTATTTAAAGGAATGTTGTATTTTTAATGCTTCAGTTTAGCTTAATTAGAAGAGCTGCTCCCTGCTGAATGGTAATTTTAATTTTTGTATTTGTAAATATTCCCCAGGGCAGTGCCCAGCCCCTCATGCTTTTTTTAGCCTTTAAAAACGGCCAGAATTGATTTTCAAAATTTGCCAAATATTGACTTCCATAAGGTTTGCATTATTGTTCACAATTTGCAAATTTTATGACAAGTAAGTCAAACGTCCCACAGATCAAACCCAAGCACATACGCTCATAACTGTTCAAGTTTTTTGCTCTTAGCTTTGGTTTAACCCTTTTGCTGCCATGCTTGTACTTGTTATACCAAGTATTCTATTTTTTCACACACAAAAAAACAGGAAAATATACAAGATTGCAAAAGTCACTAAAGTTATCTAACCAAATATGTTTGTGCTCAGAAACAGCCAATGTCTGAGACTCTGAGTGATATGTGGTCCTTCAGCTACAAGGTGACATCCACACTTAGAGCAGAGTTCAGTAACAGTGTAATTGCTGATAAGGATCAAGAGCTTATACAAAGCCTAAAAGCCAGCACCACTAGTTTCATGCTAGCAAGCTGGCAGATGTTGTCATCAGCCAATATGTTAATAGTTGTACTCCTCAATCATGATAGAGAGATTTTGACACATACCTGGATATCTGTCATAGAGGGATGAGCAGTTTAATGCCCATACCAGACACTGTTGTGTTGTTAAAAAAAATAGAAATAGAACCGCTGTGTTCATTACACCTAAAAAATAAATCATAATTAGTTTAATATTTATAGTTAAGGCAAAACATAAAAACTCTGTCATGAGATTGTGAGATTGCTGAGGGCTAACATAAAAGCTTCAATTATTAGTGTCTGCTTTCTTTTTCACAGCTCTCCACAGATACTAGTTACATCCATTACCTTGCCACATCACGGAGAGAAAAGGGAAATGCTGCAGAAGACATTGCAGTCAATGCAGAAAAATGACATGACAGAATGCAACATTGAACTATTCCATCAGACCAGGGCCGGTGCTAGGATTGTAGTCAAGGTGGGCAAGGTGCAATTTTGCGCCCCGAATCCCGACCCCGACCACCACCCTCTGTAAAAACAGGGCATTTTGACAAGTATTGTACTTGTCAAAATGCCCCGTCCCACCTTACTTGCCTTGCGCTAGCACCGGGCCTGCATCAGACTACATGAGCCTTGCTGGGGGAGGTTCCCAGTACACACCTTCCATCTCTCTCGCCTGCCATTGATTCCCGGGGAGGGAAGCCTCCTGGTTGCCTCGGTGACCGGGGGGTGGTCTTAACTCCCCTGGCTATAAAAACCTGGCCTGAGCTCTGGCTTATTGCTGAGTTTGTCCACCTCATGGTGTGACATACGAAGCTCCCCTCCTATGTGCCTTGTTGCCTGTTTCCTGAACCCTCTGCTGACTTCCCGTGTACCGACCTTGGACCGCCTATCGCCTCTGACCCTCTGCTACCTGCCTCGACCTCGGATTACCCTCGACTACCTCTTTGGATTGCCCCCTTGTTACCTTGCCTTCGGACCATTCTGGCTGCTTCCTGCCAGCGGGTTCCCTCCGTGCTGCTTGCCTGCGGACGCACCTGATACATGGTGAAGTGAACCCTGGAGATGACCTCGTAAGATGGCAACCAATGTCAAAGAAAATAGAGAGCATTCTCAATACAAAGTCACTGTGGTACAGCAGTGACTTTGTCTTGAGATTTCAGAGAGTGACTTTAGGATTCACTTGCTTTCACTGCTGCTGACACATTATATTGAAAGGAAACACCAAAAGCGTGGAAAAAAAGCATTTTACACTCAATTGCAATAGAGAGCATTAAGATGCACAGATATAATCCAACTGCCTTTGGGCACCAGATTCACCAGGTCATGAATGCAAGACTTGACCACATTTAAAACTCTACAGAGCAGGGAGGGAGGTACACTCAGGCACTCTAGGACCAACATATTTAAAGGGGAACAATTGCAGGAATATAAGTTAATCTAAAGCACGCTACCAACCCGCCAAAAATCTTACCATTTTCGGCAGGTTTTCCAGCGTGCTAGGAAGACGAAAGTCGTGTGACCGTACAGTAGATGCGGTCGCACGCTGCCCAGTCACCTGCCGATTATTGTACGATCGTGGGATCACCCGCGATTATCGTACGATAATTGGCAGGTGTATGGGCACCTTAACTCCTTCAATATTGTGACCTGAATGGCAGAATCAGGTATCTCCATGAACTCATGACATTCATTGTCAGATTAGGTCTCTTGTTACATAGTACTGCTCAGCCTACTATACTCAATGTATTACATATGAAGAGAATATTTTCACATGGCTCAAATGTTAATGTTACCATTTGTCCTAATTCCTGTCACTGTCACTTTTGCTGGACACTACAAGTAGCTGTGAAAAATAATATACAAAGGTTTTTGGACACCTTGGGGTAATTTATTAAAGGCAAATAGGCTGTTCATTTTGGGAGGGAATTAGCACTTTGCAAGGGAATAAGGTGAAGCTCTGCTGATTTCCATCACCTAATCACATGCAAGCAGAACATACCAGTTTTCCATTTTCCTTGCTTGCGATTAGGTTTTCAACACATTCACCAATTTCGGGGGAACTTCCAATGAAAGTTGCAAAAGTAAACAGCCTATTTGCTTTTAGTAAATTAACCCCCTTGAGTGTTTACACCTATACAAGCTTGTTGGACATCTATTTATAAAACCAAATTATTGAGTTCAGAAGTTTCCAATGAACAAGTCAAGTCATTTTTGGCAATTGTGTCTTGCCAACCCTGTGGCCTGCACAGAGCTCTGATCTCATCCCTAACAGACACCTTTGAGATGACTTAGAATGCTGATTGTGAGCCAGATCTTTTTATCTAACATGAGTCCCTGGGCCCACAATGCTTTTTGGCTAAATGAGCGCAAATTCCCAAACACACTCCAAAATCTTGTAAAAAGCCACCATCTGAAGGCTGTTATAGCCACAAATGGGGAAGGGGTAGGTGGAGGACATCTCCATATTAATGAGTAAGGTTTTGGAATGGGATGTCATACAAGTTGATATAGGTGTGAGAATCAGATGTCCAACATGCATGACCAACATAAGATCACCTTGTCAGACATTCAGGCTCCACAATATTGCAGCTTTTACCAAGCCAGACAAATGAGTCTCGCTCTCACTGCTGCATTTTCGGTAAGATTAAAAACAGAGAATCCAGCAATGGGTGTAAAAACTCTCTATATGTGCCAATACAGATAGGTAGATCTGCCACTTAGTGATACTGCTGCTCATTTTGCTCAACACTGATAATAGCCCCATAAAAGATTTATCCATTCAGGAAATAAGTGCCCGATTTTGTATGAAGCCTTTAGCTGTCTAATTTGTAAAATATCCAAACTGAATTACTGATTGGATGCCGAGATACCAAATCATATGCAGTTGTGTCTATATATGAATGCAATTAGAGCATATATTCTTCTAATTATCTATTTACTGGATCTCAGAAGGCTTTGTAAAATCTTATGAAGCAGAAATGTTCCTTACCTGCCGATGACATTTTGGTGGCTGTGAATCTGCTGTTGTCTATGAATATGAATCCTCGTGGCTTTATATACCATGAGGATGGGAACGTGATATTTTCAGGCAGCAGTTCATATTCTAACTTGGGGGCTGTAGACAATCTGAAATTTCAGTCTCAACAGCTTCTCCTTCAGAAACACAATGGACAATAAGTAGAAAACAGATTAGTTTCCATATAAGAATCATCACAATAGGTATCACTGCTCCGAAAATATGTAATGTTAGTTAAATAAGAACATGTTAGTTAAATAAGAACACTTGGATGGATTTCCCGTTGGACTATGGAGACTAAAATATATCATGCTAAATATTTGTTTTGTTCTTACATCAGCTACGTAGAGACATTGTTATGAACAAAGAACTGAAATCAAGTAAATGTTCATTTTCCCCTTAGGACCATACCAAAAAGAGTGCTAGGACTGTATTGTTTATAATGTCGTAATATGGGCATTAACTAAAACAGAGCTCTAATAACAGAACACTGTATTTATTGTCTTACTATACTCTGTTTAGATCTAAAAAAGTAATATATCTTAATGTGAACTTTTGAGACGTGGGTGTGGAGCACCGTATGTGAATAGAAAGTCTTGTAGACCCCGGCTGGTTAAAGAACAGTGATTACTTTATTAGTGTATGACATAAAACACGCACTGCATTTCGGAGGCTTGGGGGCACCCTCTTCTTTAGGGCTTTGGTAGTGTTAGATCTGATAGTCGCGGGTACTGCAGTCTGTGTCCTATTATGATGATGGTGTTCTGGAGTTTCTGCTTTGCCTGCTTGAGTTTCCAAGTCTTACTGTTTATAAATGGCACTACTCACCCACCTCCACAATATTCACATTCTTGAAGTGACCCATTATGAAGACACGCCATGGGTCAAGTTGCCACAGAGCTAACCACCACTGACAAGATTTACATTTAATGAATTTGTCACATTTGTAGTTAGAATACACTTTTGTAGAACAGATTAAAGTGATATTAAAGTCAAAAGGGTTTAAACGTTTGAATTCCCTGCAGCATCAGCTGGTCCCTGAACATTGGCTCTGATATCCTTTATTAGGGTGGCTTCTTTCCCTTGCAGAGTCCTATGGAGCCACCCTTGTGTGTGCAACGTATATTTGTTAGATCTGGATTAATTACAGAAAAAAGTTTGAGTGTTTAATATTACTTTAAGTCAATGCAAAAATAGTTTTTACATTTTAAATGCATGATGTTATGACTGGTAATGGAAAAGGTTTGGCCTCCTTTATTTAATATCCAAGATCTTTGTACAACTCCAATTCCAAAAAAGTTTGGAAGCTGTGTAAAATCTACATAAAAACAGAATGCAATGATCTGCAAATCTCATAAACCCATATTTTGTGCACAATAGAAAATAGAAAACATACCAAATGTTTAAACTGAAAAAATTTACCATTTTAAGAAAGAAATAAGGTCATTTTGAAATAGATGGCTTCTTAAAAAAGTTGGGACAGGGCAACAAAAAGCTGGCAAAGTAAATGGTACTAACAAGGAAGGGCTGGAAGAACATTTTGCAACTAATTAGGTTAATTGGCAACAGGTCAGTAACATGATTGGGTAGAAAAAAAAAGTATCTTAGAGAGTCAGAGTGTCTCAGAAGTAAAGCTGGGCAGAGGTTCACCATTCTGTTAAAAGCTGCGTCTAAAAATTGTTGAACGATGTCAGAATAATGTTCCTCAACGTAAAATTGCAAAGACTTTAAATATATCATCATCTACAGTACATAATGTCATCAAAAGATTCTGGGAATCTGGAGAATTCTCTGTGCTCCAGGGACAAGGCCAAAACGCAATATTGGATGTCTGTGATCTCCAGGCCCTCAGACAGCACTGCATTAAAAACAGGCATAATTCTGTGATGGACATCACTGCATGGGCTCAGGAATTCTTCCAGAAATCACTGTCTGTGAACAGTTTCCGTGCCATCCAAAAATGCAAATTAAAGCTCTATTATGCAAAGAAGAAGCCATACCTGAACATGATGCAGAAACACTGCCGTCTTCTCTAGGTCAAAGCTCATTTAAAATGGTTTGTCGCAAAGTGTAAAACTGTTCTGTGGTCAGAGGAATCAAAATTTGACATTCAATTTGGCAACCATGGGTGCCACATCCTCCTAGCTAAAGAAGAGAGGGACCTTCCGGCTTGTTATGAGCGCGTGAATAATGTGTATGGAATTGGCAGCTTGCACATCTGGAAAAGCACCATCAATGCTAAAAGATACTGTATATTCAGGCTTTAGAGCAGCATATGCTCCAATCCAGATGATGTATTTTTCAGGGAAGGCCTTGCCTATTTCAGCAGGACAATGCTAAACCACATACTGCATTTATGACAACAGAATTTGTAGTAGAGGAGTCCGGGTGCTTAACTGACCTGCCTGCAGTGTAGAACTTTCAACCAACTGAAAATATTTGGATCTTGAAACAAAAAATACGTCAAAAAAGACTCAAGACTGTTGAGTAGTTAGAATTTAAGGGAATTTCAAATCATTGCATTCTGTTTTTATGTAGATTTTACACAGTGTCCCAACTTTTTGGGAATCTGGGTTGTAGAAAGCCATGTAAAATCTTTATAGACATTGGTTAAATCAGAGCTTTTCACATTGTTCTGTGCCCTGATGATGTGAAATTTACATTTTCAAGCTTATTTGAAGTTTCTTTTAAAGTAGTATTAAACGCTTAAGCTTTTTTTCAATAAAGAATCCAGATCAAACAAATGTATATTGCCCAGCAAAGCATTTCTTTATATTTATATTTTATATTTTTGCCCAAACACTTACAATCATCATGCTTCCATACAGCTGCTTGCAACTCTCTCAGCTTCACTTCCCTGAACTCCCTGCCTTGTACAAGATCACAAGGGACAGTACAGTCTCTAGCAACGGTTCATCTACTAGCTTGGAGAAGAGTGATGGGAGGAGAGGGGAGGGGAGGGGAGTGTCTTGTTTTGCTGTGTCTGTTTGTGGAGACACACTCAGTTTACTAGCATAAAACAAAGGTGGCTCAATAGGACTCTGCAAAGGAAAGGAATCACCCTTAAAAACAGGATATCAGGGCCATTGTTCAGGGGAACAGCTCATTCTGCAGGAAACTAAAACTTTTAAATATCAAGGAGCTACATCCATTGTAAGTGATTTAATCAGCATTTGGTATTTAGGTTGAACTCGATGAACATGTGTCTTTTTTCAACCTGACTAACTATGTAACTATGTAACTATGTAACTATGGAACAGCTTAGAACTCTTTTGACTTTAAAATCACTTTAATGTGCTACGACACAGTGACTGCGCAAAGTCTTTGGTAAAGCAGTTCCAGGTCCAGCCGGTTCACATGTTGCTAAATGCACAGGATCCATGTGTTTGGTGCATGCTTTCACACAACACATGGTACTGTACAGGAAGTGCAGTGGTGTGTTACTTTGCCATTCATTCTCAATGGTACCACATGACCACCTCCCAGTGGGCATACATTGCAGCCCAACACAACATGCGGTACCACAATAACATGCTATGCACTACTTCTTATCAATGCACCACAAAGCAATGCACATTATTGCAGAACCACGCATTGTGCTGCGCAGCAATATAATGCACTACCGCTGTAGGCACAGTTAGGCACAGCACTATGGTGTGAACTCAGTTTGACAATAGAAGTGCAGCTGTCCTACATGCTTCTCCACTGAATCACAGCTAGGGCTTTGCAAACAACAGGGGGCATGATGTTTGCTCATTGCATGGATCTAGTTGTTACTCAGCGAGGGGGGTGTCTGACCAATGTGCAGGAACCGCTATTCGCAGAGCGCAATGGCCTGTCTCTGCTGCATACTGGCAGGGGACAGGCTGATTTGGGAGAACTGGACAAGCCTTAACAAAAAAAGTAAAATTAATTAATAACGGCAAGACTTTGTGCAGTTTTGCAGCGCATTACATGAGACTAGATAATGTTCTAAGAAGCGTCAGTTTTATTTTTGTGATCAAAGTTGTTTCTAGACATTTACAGACAAGCAGATCAGTATTAAAAGAGTAAAGTCAGAACTCCTTATCTGCGTACTTGTTAAGGATTAGTGACTCAAGGCCAGAGGTATACCATGATAGCCAAGCAACCAGCATTTTCAGAGGAAAAGGTCAGCAGTTAAAGCTTATATATATATATATACTATGTATATACCGTATACATATATATATATATATATATATATCACCGAAAATGGCTAATTGGGCCTAATTTGGACATTTTCACTTAGGGGTGTACTCACTTTTGTTGCCAGCAGTTTAGACAATAATGGCTGTGTGTTGAGTTATTTTGAAGGGACAGCAAATGTACACTGATATACAAGCTGTACACTCACTACTTTACATTGTAGCAGTGTCATTTCTTCAGTGTCGTCACATGAAATGATATAATATAATATTTACAAAAATGTGAGGGGTGTACTCACTTCTGTGAGATACTGTATATATATTTTTTTTATTTTATGTTATTTATTTATTTATTTTTGAATACAACACGGTTACTGCTAGTATACGTAGACACTTTAGAAGGTTCCTGAGGTTAACTGACTTGGCCATGAGCGTGGATTACCAAATAATGTAATGTAAGCATTGCTTCTGGACTGCATGTAATTGGCTACTGGTCAGTGTGGTGTGGTCTGACATGAGCAAGGGTTGTAGCTCTAACCAGACTGCCATTGCTGGATCTTGCTTGGATAGCATGATTGTAATCTTCCAAGGCCATTTGTCATAGTGTCACATTATATGAGCAGGCTCTGAAGTACTTATTTCATGAATGGATTTGGCTTTGACTGCTTAATTGCTTTAATTTAATTATAATTGCTTATAAAAGTGCCCTATGGAGCTTATTATGAACTGATCGTTAAGCTGTATATAAGCACAAAATGCACCATGCATGCAGGGCCGGATTTCCCACAAGGCAAATGTAGAGCGGCCAAGCCAGTGTTTTAGTACAAGTGATCCCAGCGATGTCGCCAAGATCACTTGTAATATGCGTGCCGCTCCATCCCTCCGCCACCCCCCTCTATGGTCCGCCCCTACTTCACTTGGCTGCGTCTCCCCGCTGGCCTCCTCCCTTCCTACCATGGTTTTCAGGGTCCCCCACTCCTCCGGGTCTCCCATGACCACGGCACATTCATTCACGATGAAGGACGGGGAGCAGAGTGGAGAACGTCTGTAAACACTGAGACAACCCTGCCTCCCCCGCCATCTGGTCGCCATTCTTCATTTGGCGTGGGGGGTTGATGGGTAGGGGGGCGCATTGAGGAACCTGGCCTTGAGGCAGCAGAGAGAGTAAATCCAGCCCTGCATTTACGTTAATTTACAAATATGTTATGACTGAATTCCTGTCAGTTTGGACAGGGCAATACACCATGAGTTTGTACATCATGGAAGGAGCCCGTTGCTTATAATTACAGTACTAGTCTGTCCACAATGCTGTTATGCATATTGCATTAAGATTTGTTTGCATAACCAAGGTATACGTTTGTACAGCTACTACATCAATGGATGTGTTTCTGAGATTGGTCTATTTTGAGTTATCGGACGTTATAGCTGTACATTGGTTGTGCAGCTTTGAATTCATATCCCTGGAATAAGTGGGAGTCTGCAAGAAAGCATTTGTCCTCGAATATAAAATGGGTGTTGAATAGTGGGTACTGTCCCACTGGATGTGCTGTTTACAGCTTTGAGGCTAATCAATGGAATATATGTATATTGTTCCAACATTTGGAATTTACTTTTTTGCAGGTATATGGGGTGATCCGAATGTTTTGTAGAAACAGTTTGTAATAATTTTTGTGAAATTTCACTAAGATGAGCAAGAAAGGCACCCAGGGATCCAGTCTTGCCTATAATTACAGAGGTGTCACTGGCACACAAAACAATGGATTTGTGAAGCCTGGTTAACGACGAGCCCTGTTCCCCTAGCAAGAAATAATATACTTGTATCACACTATAGTCTCTGTTTATAGCCATTGGTAGCAATATTTTATAACACAGTCTGTGAACATATTTACTGCTAATAGCATTACATATTTTTAGAGCATATTCTTCATGGAACTATTCTTCGTGTAGTTTTTTACATTCAATTTAAAACATAATCCGTATGTATGTACACTTGTTGCCAATATATGTACACGGCAGAGGGACTTGTGTGTGAACAAGTATACTGACAGTAGTTATTCTAATGATTCTAGCTGCCAGTTGTAACCAATCAGAATAAATGATTGATTATACAATGTAATATGAGTTTTTTCCAATATCATAGTTTTATACATCCATCAGATAGTCTGCTTAGTCTAACCAGTGAAAGGTAACCTCTATACCCTACATAATCTATGTTGTACAATGTCTTGACCTGTACTCTATGCACTACATAGTTCTAACCACTATACTCTATATGCTACTTAGTCCTGACCATTGTACTTTATACACTGTTTTGTACACATTATAAAGTCCTGACCGCTGCATTCTATATGCTAAGTTGTTCATTACATAGTCTTAACCACTCTAATCTATATGCTATGCTGCATATTATATAGTCCTGACATCTGCATTCTATACAAAGTATAGCACTCTATATACTAAGTAGTCCTTACTGCTGCACTCAATACTCTGCAAAGTCTTGACCGCTGAAGGTAAGACCAGAGAAAGTGTTGGTCCTTTTCTTTATTCTCTATGCAAAACAGAATATGTAATGGAAGAGGTTCATTTTTTTTAAATTACATTCTGTGCTGAGGATTATTATGAGATTTATGTTTGTCTGTGAAACTGCCTCCTTTGGCATTAATTAGGAAATATTTTGTGGATACAAGGACTGCGGCATGAGTGTGCAGTATATACAGTACAGCTAATAGGTTCAGGTTCTGTGTGTTAATTTCACTGCCAATGTTCATTGTGATATGACCATGCCATATATATATATATTATTGACTCGGGGTGCTCCATGTATTTTATGACATTAGATTTTTTTTTCTGCTTAACTTTATCACTATTACAAGATGGCTGATACCTCCCCTATGTGATACGTTGTAGTAAATAGGGTGTGACAGGTCTTCTTAATAAATACATCAAGAGTATATAAGATCTAAAGAGGTGTCTCTGCACTTATCCCAGGATAGAGATCGGGTTTGTAGAGCTTCCACTTTTACAAACGTGTATGTGAGCAATTATCGCTGTTACATTTATACGAAAAGGGTTATTGGTTTTTACAGAGGTAACAAAATGTATTGGATTTATGCATTACATATGATCAGGAGCTGGTAGGTATGTGATATCATTGCAGTGGAGTTGTCATTGCAACCAATATTCTTTGATGCTTAGATATCTTATACATAGCCCAATAGCTGCTACTGTGTCCTCTAATGACATGTAGGGCAGTGGGAGGAACAGCTGATCACAGTGTGGAACCAGGTCACCAGGATGCCCCATTAATACATCCTATAGGGCCCCATGATCTGTAGTTACACCCATGGTCTTTATACTGGGTATTTCTAGACAACAGTTAGCTCAGTGTTATAATATAAAGACACAAGAAACCCCAATATCCAGCTCAATTGTTTTATTTACAAACCTAAGAATTCACTCGATATATAGATCAGTGTACACATTAGATGTAATAACAGGTGAAACATTTTGACTAGTAACATATATATATAGTATTTATTATCATTCTATAAATAACTTTAATGCTGTTAAAAATTATATTTCAGTTTAATTATTGCACTGATTATTGACAACCCGCATCATTGATAGATTACAAATCGTTTAGTGAGCTAGTGGCGACATTGTGTCCCATAACTGTAATCATGCCGAATGCCATTAGAAGGCTGGTCTGAGAAAACGACCACTGATTCCTCCCTGTGTACAGTGGAAAGAAAACGTTAGTTAACATGTCCAAAAGTCATGAGATATCCTGCTGTTTTACAACAAAAGCAGTCATGTATTTTACTTTCATAAGGTGATACAACAGAAACATGTGTTTCAAACTAATATTGCTGAATAGCTGAAAAAGTTAGCAATGTCTCTGTTGACAAATATACCAGTTGATCCTGTCAGTTTCACCCTCAGCTCTTACAGAATAGGATGACAACTCTGTAATCTGCCCTTTCAAATTCCCAGTGTTATCACACCTTTTTTTTAGCCTCGCCACCACTAAATTACAAGGTTGTGCAGTGACACAGACTCTTCCTCTTACATAATAGCATTGTAATTTTTTAGAAAGAGGCTGGTCCCCCCCAAATGTGTGTGTGTCACTTTCAGTAATGCTCTTCCTCCCAGGTGATTGACAGCTGCTTCCTACTTTAATATGCCTCCCTGGGCTGGGAGTTGGAACTATAGCAAGGTCTATTGGGATTTGGAGTCCTGGGAAGACAAAGTGCTGATGCTACTCTTCATTTACAACCCTTGCCCAGAACATGCACGGTCAGACGGCTTCAAAACCAGCAAACAAAGGCGTTTCAAAGTTTTCCCCTATATGTTCCTAAATGTCAAATTTTTATTATTGTTGATATACTTGACATCTGCTTTAAGGAAATGGAAATTCTTACCCCCACTGGAAACACTGGAGACTTGACTTGGATTTCCTGCAAAATATTCAATAAAGTAACTTGTGGTGAAAAGTAACTTTAAAAAAGAGTTTGGCTCTGAGATCCCTCACAATGACTTTTTTTATGACTACCAAAAGCACACCATCCATCAAAATGGACATTATGTCTGCAGCATACAGCATTATATTAGCAAAGATGGCTGCTGCAACTGCTACCAGGTCCATGACAACAGTCTATTGTGCATTGATGAGTTATTGAGATTGTGTTTTTTTTTTTTTTTTATTCCTCTCTTGCACCATAGATAACAGAACTTGCAATGTGTCTTGTTAGCAGTTATAGGAGGTGTTTAAAATGATGAGGAGTTATGAGGTGTGTGTTATTGCATTTGATATTATAAATTGTAGGTAGCTGTCAGAAAAAGATAATACTTTTTCTAACCACAAACTTCTTTATGGGCCATTTAAAAACATGGTTACTATAGACACTCTCTTTTCTGTCCTCCTGCATGAGATGCCCCGTATTTGTTTTAATTTTGTAGCTTTCGGAGGGTTTTAGATTCCTGCTTTGTAAAAAAGGAAAACATAAGTTTTACTCTTAAGTCTGTGCGCCTTGTACACTAGAGCTATAATCTAAAATAAAAATAAAAACTCACTGCAATAATTAGGCTGTGTGATAATGATCAGTTATAAAAATAATAATACTCATAATAATAATAAACTGATAATAATCAGTTACATTATGTAACAAAATTAATACAAACATGACCTAGACTTGTCCAAAACAGTAATACATTTATCATGAAATATAGTACATTGCTACACTAAAAGCGCAAATCCCACCAAGATGTTTTATTTTATTTTTGTATAGAAAATTAGAGCCTCTTCTGGGTTTTATTTGCTCTGTGCCCTTATTGAAGGGAATCTTCCTCACTTACTGCCAGGACAGGGAGTGATTGAAAATCTCTCCAGTTGGGACATAGACAGGGATGTGTATGGGGCATCCACACACCTCAGTTCTTATATGAGCATCACCGAGAGAGAAAGTGAATGTGAAATCTTCTCAAATGAAAACTTTACAAACAGTGAATTCCCCTCTATCTAAAACTAAAGAAAAATAGTTGGCTAGAGTTAGGATTGAAGTGCTTATAATATTGAACTGCTCCTCCACTTTAAGCAAAAACCAAATTAACACATCAAATGGCATTTTTTTTTTGGTTTTGACATGAAAAAAATAAAAGACTAAGGGGCATGCTTTCCATTATAATGTCATGTTTAGACAATATTATTTCCTGTGCTCTTCTCTTTTACTGACCTTGGAGAAAACGGCAAACTGATACCCATAAACATTTCACTGTTTCCATACAAAATCCTTACCAGTAACTTGGACTGGTCCAAAGGACACGACAACTGGATCTGTGGCACTGCCAGCATTAGCCTCCCTCTTCCGTCTTGAACTTGAGCATTTCTTTAAAATAAAAATATCAAATTAAAACATACTTCATATATATCTTCAACAAATCTGTTTAATTAAGAAATAACTTACAGTACACTGGCCAGGTTCACAAAGTCTAGTATAGCAGTGCAAGTAGATTGATGATGTTGGTTGTCCACTGTGCTGCAGGAAACGGAAAGACTGGAAGCTGAACCGGGCAAACTTGTCCACTCCACTGGCAATAATAGATACATTCTGTACTGCAGAGCAACTAAGAAAAAGAAATGGTTTACACAACTGACAATATAAAACAGCAAACATAAAATGGAACATTTTTTTCAGTTGTATAAGTCAGCCAAGATTGACACGTTTCAGGGGTAAGCCCCCTTCATCAGAATCATTCTGATGAAGGAGGCTTGCCCCTGAAAAGCGTCAATCTTGGCTGACTGTGGCTGGTGGACGGTGATGTGACCGGAGGCAGCCGTGATGCAAAGTCGGGGCAATACCATGTTGGGTTAACAGACAGCATGGCCTCTTGTTTGTTGCTAAGCCTGATGAAAACATTTGCTTGTGAGTACATATATCCCTTGTTTTATTTATTGTAATAAACGATTTTACACACGGAGGTGGCGCTCTGTTCCCTTTTGTTTCTTATGTTCGTGGTGGAAGCCCCAGAGCCTTGGATGAGCAGCCCCTCAAGTCTGTGTGAAAAATTGTGATAAACTGTTGAAAACTTTGATTATGCAACAGCAAGTGGATTGTTCAACTGGCAGCCATTCGCGCCAAGAGTTTAGGAAAACTGTCCCTCTTCCCAAGTGTTAGACAGGACCTGTAGACCTTTTTATTCACAGATTCTGTGAATGGATCTGTAAATGAATGATGCAGCTGTTAGGTGGAGCCACATACAGCTGCATGAATTAAACAAAAAACAGAAGCCTGCAGGATGAGGCACCCTGTGATTCTGGTAAGCAGGGGGTGATTTGAAGGTGGCAGGGGGGGCTGCGGAATGTCACCATGTTCCATGTTATATCCTAAATATGGGTGTAATATGGAACAAGATGTTAAAGAAGAACTCTTAATTATTTAATATTTTAACCCTTGCAGTGGGGCTAGAGCCCTGCACTGCAAGGGTTAACTGCTCATTTTTCTCTAGGGGCCAGCATTCAAAAGGGGTTGCTCCACGCAAGGGAGATTTGCAGATTCCTGGAGTTCCACTTTAAACATGGAGTTAGCCTTTAATTTTAATTACTCTAAATTTCACTTTAGTGATCTAAAGTGAAATTTAGAGTAATTAAAATTGATAGCAAGAAAAAGTTTGACTGCATAAGAAAAGTTACTTTGCTTGTCTTCTCTCCTATAAATGCTTCTTCCCTGCCTACTAGAAATTTTCTTTAGACTAAACACTGAGCTGCAGTTGCACAGCTAGTTTTAGAATCTCAACATGCCTTGGTGCTAGGATGAATCAGCTCCCACGTGCATGTGTGGGAGTTATGTCATCCAAGACCAACCTGTCAGGATGGCTGAAGACATCAAACCCAAAGCAGACTAGGCAAAGATTTTGGCAGCGACAAGGGAATTGGTGGACGTTGCACCACTGCAGTCGAGTTAAAAGCAGCAGATTTACATTTTGCTTTAAATGTAACACCTTTATGTAAATAAATTGTTAGCCCCTGAAAAGATTGTTCATTTGTGCCTTTGTTTGATAATAAAATTGTATGCTAATTCTCAAATGCCTAAAATACCAAACAAAGAAATAGCTGAAGATAGTAAAAATGTTATTCTGTTTATGGCTGTTATCAATGGCCAATCCATGCAGGAATACTGTTGCTATTAGGGTGAAGCTAGTGCATTTGGCAAAACAGGACTCTTATTGAAATTTGATTGAAATTAACCTCCAATTGTGCCATGAAGACTATATGCCAAAAAAAATCACATGGCTTTGTTTAAAAAAAAAGACAAAACCATGTAATCAAAATGGCAAAGCTTCCATGGTGATCAATGCCTTTGTTGATAAGCAAAGTCTAACCTGAATGCTAAACCTAACACTAACCATAAACCTGACCCTAACCTTAATGGTAGCCCTCTGTTGATCTGCAAGCATTTACAATTTTAATGTGTCACTTCAGGCTTTAGCAGACATCAAAGGCAGACACATCTCAGGAGTAACAACAGAGTCTGTTTAATAACGATTGATTTCTTTGGCTTACTATTATCAATTTGGTGAGCAATGACTTTGTTAATAAATGAAGTCAACACTAATGCTCACCCAAACACTAACCTAAACCTAACACTAGCCATAAACCACACCGTATACCTTATTGCTAGGCCTTTGTTGATGAGCAAACATGTACAATATCAATGGGCAACTTCAGGTCTTAGCAGACATCAAAGGCAGACACATCTCAGGGCTAACAGTAACGACTAATTGGATTACTAACATTGACTTGCAAGACAAGTATAAATCAGATGCAAGTGTGAAAAGAGAACGTGAATAGGTATTTTTGGTTTTTTGCTAGTTTTTAAAAAAAAAAAACGTTTCTTATAGCTCTTGAAAAGGACACTAAACCTATATAGGGTTATATCTAAGATCACTACAAGGGGTAGTGCATCTGCTACTTTGACACATTCATCAAATGGAATTCCATTTTGCTTTTTCAGAAGCAATAATAAAATATATATATACATATATTCAGTGAAACGAAGTGTAGATGTGTTGTCTGTTTCTTTATTACATAAGATATAGTCTAGGTAATTACCCTGTGAGGAAATCATAGCTGTCATTTTGTCCAGGTGAAACCAAAGGGGATGGAGTAGCAAAGCATCGATCCAGGAATACATTATAGCTGTGGAGAAATTATAAATTCTATAATACAGCGTATCTGCAAATGTTGTATAGTTCTATTGTTTAAAATCGCAGTGCAGCTATTAATATTCAAACTTAAACCTGTAAACATGATTAACCCTAAATAAGATTTTCAGGTAACGTTGCTACTATTTCTGGAAAATAAATAAATCATTTGAAAAAGAGATCTGTATAAAACATTTTCTGTCTGGGAAGACTCAAGGGTAATCATCAAGGGATACAGTAGCATTCCTTTAAAGCATTTTACTCCTAGAAACATGACAAGACAATATCACATGTCTGATTTGTTGAAGAATATGTCACTAGCACACCCAAGTCTTCATCCAGAAAACGCCTTTGTTGACGTTTCTGCATCATGTCAAACAAAATACATTTCAGGGCTGCACAGGGTCCCTTCATCAGGCATAGTAAGATGATTTGTTGACGAGTTCCTGGAGAAAGGGTGATGTGCTGATGGCTATTTGATGTATAGGATAGTTTACATGGAATCTTTGAAAAGGCAATTGGTAGTCTAGGTCCCTGACAGAAAATAATTACTCAAATAATTACTCAAAACATTTTTCTACACCCAGGGAAACAAGAGAACTTGACGCTTGTTTGTAAAATCCCATTTAGCATTGTAGATAAATTTGCACATAGACGTACATACGGTATTTTGCATCAACCAGTAAATGGTCCAAATCACGAACCATTCCTACTCTACAACAAAAGTTAATTTCAAAGACAGAATACAAACCTATATATTTATAAAATTAAGAAGTGTACAAAGGAATCACGATGAAACTATGAACCAATCAAATGTTTTATTGAATCATTTTACAGATGTTAAGATGGTGATAGATAATATGCTGCTAGAGGCCACTGCTTTTATGCATTGTATGTGTGCCTTATTAAAATAAGACCAACGGATGGACCACTAAACTATTCAAATCAAGAATGAATCAAGGAGATCCAGTTAAAATACTTGAATGTAAGGCTGATATCTGATGGTTAAATAATGGGAATTTTGTGCTATAGCTGTCAAGGGCCATAGTTGAGTATCACCATAGATATGAATTAGTTTAGCTACATGGCACTGTGGTGCAGGTGTGTATTTTTGACAGTGCAGAGAGGATTGATTGATTTATTTCATTTATTTCAATTATATCTAGCAAACAACATGACACATTAAAATTATTACTCCTTATTTCATAAAGTTCACATACCTTGTTGCTGAGTTATTACTGCTTACTTGAACATATATTGTTTTTCTCAAGCCATAAACAGTTAAATTTGATGCAACTGCAGAAGAAAAACTTTGATCCTATTAAAAACATGTGAGAAATTATTGTAACATTTTACAGCTATAATAACTGGCAATGAATCAGATTAATAACAGTAAATAAAAAAACACAAGTTACTGTATACTGTATTCAGCTTTGAAATAAATGTCTTGAGTAGAAATAGACAAAGGCATCAAACTTTGTTGTACTGCTAATATGTGTGGAATATGTGTGAATAAAGGACTTTTTTTATGGTGTGGTGTCCTTATTTGCTTTTAACTCTTTGTGGAAAATGGGTAAAGCTTACTATTGTACCCCTATACTCATTCCCTGGGGGTGCTGATATCTGAAAGCCCTCTTATTATAAAGGGGGCTTCCAGATTCCCATAAGTGTTACCTACAAACCCCCTCATCCTCTTGGGGACCCGACGTGAGAAAGAGGCCCATCTAGACAAGGTACTTTGCAAGAGAGAAGGAGGCTTGGCCACCCATGCTTGCAAGGTACCCCGAACCCCCCAACAGTTTGCACAGAACTTTACAATATAAGGAGGACATTACAGTTACAATACAAATCAAGACAAGTCGGTAAGGAGGGCCCTGCCCATGAGAGCTTACATATGTTGTGGGTACCCCAAAAGTCCAATCTCTTTTTGGTTGAATGTTTTTTATGTAAAATAGGATGTGGTGCCTGTGGATACAGGTTAGTCCCATCTTTCCATACAATATAGATACTATGAATGTGTTATAAAAATGAATCCATGATCTTCATAGAAACATTAATAGGAATTGACAACAAAAAATAAAAGCATATCTAACCGCAAAAGCAATAATGTAATATATTGCAGCTTACCAGCCTTTAGATTTGATGGCTGCAGTAGATTTTTGGGCAGATAACACTGGGATTTCACTGTGCAGGAAGTTATAAGGACACTGAATTTCTGGCAAGGTCAAGAAGTATTTCCTGTACTTGCTAAAAAAATGTTCTGAGCCTGAAAATAGCTAATGCAGTCACCACATGTAAGGACCGGTAAACAGCAATATATTACATTTTGGTTTATGGGTTCAAATACACTTTAAAGCAGATCTCCAGGAATCTACAAAGTTAACCCTTTCAGTGATGGCTACCCCTGCACTACAACGGTTAACTGCTCATTTGAGTCTAGGGGCTCAAATAAAAATATAAAAAATATACTCACTTGTAGTCTATTCTCCCCGGGGCTCTGGCAGTCTAAGCATCTGTGACATCATCACGTCTAATGCAGTCCATTAACCTGTATAAGACATGAGGACTCTGAGGGACATACTACAGCCAGAGCAGAGAGGGATAGAGATGAGTGCTGACCACCACAGGACCTAGTATCAGGTGAGTATATCTTCTGAATGTCAGCCCCTAGAGAAAAACGAGCAGATAACACTTGCAGTGTGGGTGTAGTCCCACTGTAAGGGTTAACTTGTAAATAACTGGAGTTCTTCATTAATAGATATTTAATTTTAGTCTTTTTATTGACAGTACAATGATATAAGAGAGTTTCCATGCAAACTTACAGTGAAAATCTGCATTCGTAAAGTACTGATAAAGCTACCATTGTTGCTGTTAACAGCTACAGCTCCAAATGATCTAAGAAAAAGAAAGAAAACATCAAATGTGTCTACAAAGACATACTATTATGTGAAACCCACAACCCTAAATATTTTTTGTGTTATGAAGATTGGCTAAAACCTCTGAGGGTTTCATTGCATTCTCTCTCCCCAAATGGAAGAGTTCCCTTCATCCTATCCGAATGTCACCAGGACTGGGGGATTTGGAAAACCTCTTCAATAGAAGAGCAAAAAAGTTTGAAAATCACATTTTTGGTAGATTGGGGAAATATTAGGTTAGGTCATAATTGCTATCTGCTTCTTTCTGTAGCATAGACCACTGTCCCCCTCAGCTCTAGCCCTGGTGTCACATGGACTTAAAGTGAGGGGAAACATTCTTAAAAAGGACACATACAGCAAAAAAACCTGATGAAGAATTTTTTTTCTATAGGCAAGACTAAAAACAAGACATATTTGGCAATGACTATCTAAAAATCAGTGGTATGTTATCATATTTGTAAAGAAGAACTCCAGTTAGACTAAAATGTAACCCTTGCAGTGGGGCTACTCCCGCACTGCAAGGGTTAAGTGCTCGTTATGGTCTAGGGTCTAAAATAACAAAGATATGCTTACCCACTCCTTGGTCCTGCCTGACTGCTAGGCCAGTCCTTGCAGCCTCTCTCCCCTCCACTCTGGCGTTCTAAGGACCTGTGAGTCATCACGTCTAATACACTGTATTAGATGTGAGGATGCTGAGGGACATTACACCGCCTGAGCGGGGGAGGAGTAACCGGTCTAGCAGCCAGATGGGAGCAAGGTTCGGGTGAGTATATATTTGTTATTTTAGATCCTAGACCAAAACAATCACTTAACCCTTGCAGTGAGGGGGTAGCCCGAATGGAAGAGTTATGTTTTATTCTGTCCAGAGTTCTTCTTTAAAGCAGTGAATGCAACTTTCACCAAACATTTACTAGTGGGTAAAACACATGCAACTGAAAGATTTGTCTGCAGTAAATGTTTGGAGAATATTAGAATAACTGTTTTACTATTACGCCCCCAAAGTGTGCAAGCTTTCTGCAGCATCTGTCTGAGTACTTGTCTTTTGTTTAATATGTAACAAAAGAACACTGTGGGGTCTATTCACAAAGCTGCCGAGGGCAGCCGAGTGAATGACCGATCAGAAGTGAAGTGAGCCGTGCCAAATGTCTGTGTACACCTGACCATTACACCTACTGTTTATTGGCTTGTTGGACATTAATATGTATTTGCCCCTCTCTTCTTTTCCCCTCATGGCTAAAACAGTCTTCACTTTGAGAAAGCTTTGCACAAGATTTTGGAGTGTGTGTGTGGAAATTTGTAGCCATTCAGCAAAAGTGCATTTGTCATGTCAGGTACTGATGTTGGACAAGAAGACCTGGCTCACAAACAGGACTCCAAGTCATCTCAAAGGTGTTCACTAACATTGTGTGTAGGCCACTCAAGTTCATCCACACCAAAATCATCAAACCATGTCTTTTTGGACCTGGTTTTGTGTACAGGGGTGCAGTCATGATGGAACAGAAAAGGGCAATTCCCAAACTGTTGCCAAAAGGTTAAAAGTGCATGAATTATTTTTATACGATATGCTGTAGCAATAACAGCAGCCCCCACGGGAAGCACCTGAAAACATGGTTGTCCACATGCTCTAAATCATACATTTAAGAACTAAACTGGATAAGACTTCTCAAATAAAATTGTTATAAAACCTGCAAGGAGATCTAGATATTAAATATTTATGATACACTTACGTTAACATTTCAGTATTGTTCAGGAGGTACTGCATAGGATAGCGACAAGAAAAATTATAGTGTAAGTTTGTACTGTAGGAGACAAGTCCCATTTCTGCTAATGGTGAAGAATCCACAAATCCAGAGATGACAACTGTTTGGATATTTGAATATGAGCTGAACACTCCACTGCCAGCTTCACTTAAAACCTGTATAAATAAAAAAAAATGTACAGACAGTCCCCAGGTTACATACATCCGACTTACATCCGACTCCTACTTACAAACAGAGGCCATTACTGTACAGCAGGGGTAGTTGTAATGCTACCACGCTCGTGCCGATGAGGGTCTGGTTCGTGGTACTGTACATACATTACAGGAAGTTGGTTCTTGTTAGACGTGCAGACAAGGGGTGCCCACCTCTTCTTCCGGGTCACTGAGAGGTTTTTACTGCTGTCTGTATCCTCGTTAGAAAGATTTAATCTCACTTCCTGCCCTTGAGACAACAGGAAGTAAAAGGAAATCTACCCCTAGGAAGGGAAATTCACTCCTGTAAGAGTCTACACTGAAGCTTTATCACCAGAGGCATAACTAGAACCCTCAGGGCCCCGGTGCAAGAAAACCATAAAGGCCCCCCCGGAAAAAAACATGATTTTGATACCTTTTTTCCCCCCAATATATAAAACATTAAACCATTTCTGTTTTTATTTTCAACTTACTGTAATCATCCACAGAGGTAGTTTCAGGAGGGGTGTGGAGGTTGTCAGGAGGGGTACAGAGGGTGTCATGAGGGGTGCGGAATGTCCCAGGAGGGGTGCGGAAGGTCTTAGGAGGGGTGCAGTGGGTGTCATGAGGGGCGCAGATGGTGTCATGAGGGGCAGAGAGGGTGTCAGGAGGGGTGCGGAGGGTGTCAGGAGGGGTGCGGAATGTCCCGGGAGGGGTGCGGAATGCCCCGGGAGGGATGCGGAATGCCCCGGGAGGGGTGCGGAGGGCCTCAGGAGGGGTACAGAGGGTTAACTGCCTGTATATGCCAAAAATGATTAATACACATTTGTTTCAGTTTACAAAATACTCCTAGCTTTGGATGCAATAGATTTTGGATCTCAGCTCAGTTCTGTGAATTATGTGTAGGTTTAAACATGTCTGGTAGCCGCCTGGGTTCACACCTAGGCGACAGTGTGTTTCGCAGCCAAATTGTGATAACATCTATTTTATATTTGTTACATGTTCCCATTAGCATAAGCTAAAATAAAAATAAGAAAATGCTTCTTGCAGTTTAAATAGCTTTTACTTGGGTTAGGGTTTTAAGAGTTAACATCTCTTCTTGCGTAGGAGGGGCTGTGAGGGGTGAGGGGTCTTGTCCATTGAGAGGAGACTTGTCCATTGTATGTTAATGAAACTTATCAGATAAATACAATCCCCAAGTTTCAGTCCCAAGACTTTCCACTGGGACAGAATACTGTGAAAGAGCTAAGAAAAACCTGGAATCAGCCTTGCCTGATTTAACCAAAATGTTTTTACAAGTTATTTTCAGTATGCTGTGTGAATAGGAACACATGACGAACATATTGAGGGGTTTTCCTACATTTATCAAAGACTTTCAGAATGGGTATTTAGCTTGAGTGTAAGCCCAGCCAAAACTTTTTTGTTTGTTTTAGAAAGAGTGGTTAGATATAAGAGGTTTTTATTGCTATCTGGGGCTCCATTAGAGAGACCTCCCCTTACTGTCCCTGTGACATTGGTTTCCACACAGAGGAAGGGGGGAATCTGCAACAGGGACATAGACAATAAAAACATAGTTTTCCCCAACTCTACTAAAGGAACACATTTTTTTATCTGTTCGCGTTGCTGTTGGAGATTTTCCCTCACTTACTGTCTGGTGAAACCATTGTTATTCAGACAGGAAGTAAAGGCATATTTCACTAATGGGGCCCAGATAGCAGTAAAATATTTTAAGTCTGGGTGGGTGAAGGCTGGACAGGAAGCGAGGGTGCGGGGGGGAAGTTGGTAGTACTCAGCATTGCTGATTTTCATTATAATGTATTGCTGGAACTTGTAGTCCTGCATAGCTACTGGTATTCTGCATTGCTGTATAATGATTATACAGCAATGCAGAATACCACCAACTATGCAGGACTACAAGTCCCAGCAATACATTATACTATTAAGTAGGGACGCACCAGTGCCAACACTGGGCATTTTCACAAGTACTAAGCGCTGATACCAGTGTTCTGTCGAGATCGCCGACCTAGTCGAGTTTGCTGACCTCAGCATCTGCGCTTGTGCACAGACCAGTATTATCGAGAAAATAGGCATTTATTCACAAAATATTTTGTTCAAATCGTTAATTGTGATTGTTAATAATATGCAATCCATCATTTACTGCCATGGATGGTATATTATTAACGGTCACAATTAACAATTACAAACTAATACTTTACAAATAAATGCCAGTTTCCTCGTTAATCCCGTCTGTGCGCAAGCGCGGATACTGGGTCGGTGTTCTTTACAGAACACCGGCACTAAAATTTTAAACTGAAATGGCAGCCTTCCTGTTCACCCCACAGTGCCTGTTTATAGTGCCTTCCCATGGCGGTGGGGGGTTGGGGGGGCCCTTCATGGTTTCTTGCACCGGGGCCCTGAAGTTTCTAGTTATGCCACTGCATATAAACTTACATTTTTTGTTAGCTTTCCTCTTCATATCCTCATGGAAATGGCTGTCTCTGTGCTTTGTGAAAGTGCTAACACAGCGCTATAGGTTAAATATAAATACTTCCATAAAAATTGTATATATAAATACCTTAAAAAGAAAAATTATATAAATATATAAATAAATGGGTTATAACCCGGTGAGAGATTCCATAAATTATCTAATATTTTAAGCGATACAAAATGTGTAAAAACTGGTTTGTGTTAATACATAATCTGAGCAAAGGCTCCTAAGTGGATACAGTGTAATACGAAAAAAGTCTTTTTCAACAATGAAATCAATCAAAAAGCTTCAAACCATTAAGATATCTTATTAGTGAGTAATTAGAAGTGAGAATGCCACACAGTGACAGAATATAAAAAAATCAAAACCAAACCCTATAAATTATCTCGTTAGTGAGTGAACTTGTGAGTCATGAGATAATTAGACAAAAAGAATAAAAAAATATATAAAATGTTCCGGTGCAAGATATTAGAATTAAATGCGAATGTTTCCTCAAAAAATGCACAATATAATAACCCAATAATAAATAACTCAAAAAATGACAAATAAACAAACGAAAAAATATGTATATATAGTTCTTTTAAGTCCGGTCTTCCCCGCAGACAGAAAGCAAATATCAAATACAAAAATACACAGCTCTCCTAAATCCGATCTTCCAATCAGCCGTCCCCCCAGGCAATCGGTACTCACCAGAGTTGGTGAGTATATATATATAATCACTAAAAAGGGAAGGACCTCTACTCTCCCCGTTCCGATTCCCTCGGGTTCCTCTGACAGCAGACCAAACACTTCCAGGCACTTCTCCCCTGCAGTCTCGTGGAGGTCCCGGCTATCTGTTGAAAGCAGATGCCGGCTTTTCTCATCCGTGAACAGCAGCGATTTGGAACGGTCCCGATCAGTGTTTTTTTAGGGTTATGGGAGAGAAAAAAACAACCCTCATGGTGCAGTACATCCAACAGTAAATATTTATTTAAAAGTAGCAACTTACATCAAAGTTAAAAAATACCGGCCGGCCAAACAGAGAAAAAAGAGGATAAAAGCTTTCACATGAAAGCCGCTAGCATAGTACTTCCTATACAGTGAGAAGATCTGCCCCTTGACGCGTTTCGTCACCTGACGTCTTCTGAAGATCTGTTGACGTCTCCTGAAGATCTGTTGACCTGACGTCACCTGACGTCTTCTGAAGATCTGTTGACCTTCAGAAGACGTCAGGTGACGAAACGCGTCAAGGGGCAGATCTTCTCACTGGATATATACAGTGCTGTGTTAGCACTTTCACATCACATTCACCATTTTCATAGCAGCTTTAGGATTAGCAATTAAAACATCTTAGTCTTATTTTTCCAAGAGCGCAGAATTTTTTGTTAAAAATTATGTCTCTGTGCTTTGCAAGCAATCTGTTGAAGTTCTCTACCGCCCATTCATTAGTATTCATAATGGCACCCCCTCCTTGGGCAGTGTATTGTGTGTGAAGGCAGAGCTGGTGTTTAGTGATCGCATTACACAGAATCACAGGGAAGGGGGCAGCCTGTTTACAGCCTGCTTTACAATCTAACCCTGGTGTCAGACTAAGTTTCCTGTGGAGCAGATTTAAACTTTCCGGAATTCAGGCCTAATAAAAACTTCATAAAAAAACGAGGAAAGCATGCAACACACGACACATAAAAATGTTCACACATATACATAATCACTGCACCTCTACATTACCACAATAAATGTTAATGTTAATCACTTACAAAGGTAGAAATGGACTTTAAGCCATATAATGCATAGTACATTTTAAACCATTAAGCATAACGTTTCCATTTTTGTTATTTTCCAGGTCACAATAAACCATGCAGAGAAACAATTTGGCAAGATTGATGTCCATTGTGATGGTTCTTTGATTGTTAGAAACTATTATTTTTAGGTGGTATCTAAATATGGTCTAATAATGCTCTTATTTATACCTGTGGTACTTACTTGAATCATGTTTCCACATACATTACTACTGGAGTCATCAAGAAGTAGAGTGAATTTCATTAATGGAGTATCAGTTGAGTTATCCCTGGTACCTAAACATGATGTATTGTTGTGTTTTCCATTAAGAGCAAGATCAGATGGATCAAAATTAGCAAACATAACTGGGCAAACTTTTATGGACAGCTGAATATCTCTTGGTCCACATGTCACAGCAATGTCAGTGTTATCTAGGTAGAAAGAAAGAAAAAATACAATACAGCATCAGTTTTGGGGAAATTACAGACCTAATATTAAAACTTAGCATTGATATTTTGCCATTTGTTTCATAGAATATGTGCATTGTGACAATTTTGCATATTAAAGATCCCGCCAATTTAATAATCCTTTTTTTGGACATGTTGATACAGGTGAAGATAGGCAAAATCTATTCTGTAGACAATCACCAATTTAAAAAGATTTGTTGCCTTTTTTCACAAACAATTTGCAGAGAATTTACATCACCCTCGACCTGCCATTAGGTTGAGTTTTTGTGTTTAATGAAGGTTAAATATAAGAAAAAACTTTACTTCAAAGTCGCAAAATTTAATAACTTAAAGGAGAATTATGAGGCAAGTGATTTTCACTCAGCCTCATAATCTGAGCCGACCTGTGACAATGAAACTGTCAAAGGTCGGCTCAGTAGATCGGGAAGTGAGCGAACACATAACGTCGCTCGCTCACTTCTCGATCTATCCCTGCAGAGAGCCGTGACTGTCATCTATCCCTGCAGGGATTCCTCCCCTCCCCTGTCCGATTCTCCAGCGCTGACTGGTGGAACGGATGGGGGAGGGGGCGGGTACAGCTGGCACTGCCTCTAGATAGGCAGATCCAGCTGTCACTCACGCAGCTGGGTGGATCCAGACAGCATTGTCGGGATCCGTTCCGGCTGCGGCGTCTCAGTATTCCACGAGCAGTAGCTCGCTGTATACTGAGCTTTGGGTGACGGGAGGACGCTAGTTTGTGTCCTCCCGTTACCCTTAGGAGAACTATGGGGAAAAGCCCCGACTCCACAGTTCTCCTTTTAGAGATTTCATGCAATGAAGATTTTCACATATAGGCCCCTTGTTATCCATACCTGGAAGTCTTTCATATACCGGTTGGCACACTTGTCCAAAAGATGGCTGTGAAGATAGCACTAACAGCAGTATAAAAGCTAAATTCATTTTTAGATCCTATATGCAAAGGTACAAGAACACAAAATAATCAATTATTGTTATAATTTACATACAGTATATTTCTTCTTTCCTCCTGTTGAAGAAAAACATGTTTACAGAGCTCAGAAGCTCAGGTTAATATTTACATACATGAATACATACTGAAATTGATGGCAGTGGCCTGCAGCAATCTTCAGATACAATTTTTTTTGCCATACTTACGCAGTCCTTCCCCATAGACTACTGGAGTAAAAGCTGTTGAACTTCCTCTTTATTGGGGGAACGGCCCCATATACCTCTATGGGGATTAACTGCACAGCCATGGGCAGTAGCAAGTAGATTTTGACTGAAAAATCTGAACACTGCTGTTGGCTGTGGCCTTAGGATTTCAGTAAGTACATCTGTGATGGGGGAAGGGACTTTATTTTGTTAAGGGAGCTCTGAAATTACTTTTGTAGAGTTGTCCTTTAAATCAGAGACAGAGTTTTTAAAAATTAACAAGTTCTGCTGAGTTCTTTCTTTAGAAATTCCCAATGTTCTGTGAATGCCATGTATTGCTTATTTGTAAAACAACAATTGTATAAAATGTTTAATTTTACTTTAAGGCAAATGTCCATAATTCAGCTAATCATTTAATTACCCAAACTATAAAGTATCTAAAATGGTGGCCAGAAATGGCCTGCTGACTATCAGAAACATTATCATTCACAAAATGTTTCAAATATCTTAGAAAATCTCTGTATGACCTGGCTGATCCATGAGAAAAGGGAAGGAAACTATTAACTGTATGTGCATGACTTAAATCAGCCTAGCAAGTCAGATAAGAAACAGTAGCAGGTTCCAGCACTCCATACAATAGGCAGATATCTTCCATACCCATCATTATTGGAGAAACATTTGCCTGTAAATGCCCAGGTTTGATGGTACTGATTTCTATCACGCTCAAAGGTTTATTTTTTTTTAAATGCTACCTGTAGATACTACCACATTGACTTGGTGACTGCTACATCTATGTTTGGTGCTGATGATGATATTGAATAAAGAAAACCATTTAAGAACACAGAGTTTCTGGAAGTTTTTAAAAGGATGTAAAATGTCTGCGTGGACAATGCCTAGGAAACTTTCAATAAAGGTGACATACTATTAGTCTACAGGTAGTTTAAAGAGCAATTATTATTTGTTAAGTGCAGTCACCCATATCAGTAGACAAAAATTAGACAAACTGTTACAGATTAATTAACTAGTGTCCTTGGTCTCCTTTGTAGTCACAACTTTTTAAAGGCCTGAACACAGCTAAATATGAAGATTTCATGCTGCATGTCAAATTCTTTTACATAATAAACACACAAACTGTAATACATGCAAGTATATAAGAGACAGACTTAGTGATATGTAATAAAAAATAAGTCTGCATTAACTTGCCAAAAAATCTACATATAATTACTCACCAGATACAGAGGCTCTGATCCACGCTGCTGATGGTAAGAAAATGCAGGCAAAGCCTTCAAAACATTTATAAGAGGTGCTGGAAGAAGGAAGTTAATTTAAGAAGTTTACACTAATACCTATCTACAGGGCAAAATCTTATTTTTTAGCATCAACTGGAATTTCATCTTTGTGGGTTTTTTTCAAGGACAAAAGGTGATACATTCAACAAGGAATCATATTTCTAAAAGAGAAAAATATTGCCCTAAACAAGTGCCAGAAATACAATATACCAAGTAATATATCAAGTAAAATGTGGTTGGGTTTCTGCATAAACAGAACCATAACAAGAGACACCCATGTTGAGAGTCTGTAAGAAATGTTTGAGACTTAATTGTAACCACAAATAGGCAGACATGCCACCATTATCAACGGGACACTGGAGATCTTTCCAAAATGCTCTTGAATGTGTTGAAGTAATAATGAGTATTTGCAGCTCTTAGTAGTCCTATGGTTTGTTAGAGGCATGAAGTAAGTGGTCATGGATATGTGACCACAGACAATTTTCAGGCAATTTCAATTGGCTTTCAATCGCAATAACAGCTGAATGGTTTAAGGCAACCTACCCCCAATGCCTTAGAATATTTCCCAGTGTCAACAGAAACTGTTGGTGATACAGTAGGGTAAAATAATCCAAATAGTTGTTTTTCCAAGTGAAAGCTGCTGGAAAGTGGTCGGATTTGCAGAAAAAAATTGTGTGTGTGGCCAGCATTAGGCTTAGGTCATGACAATGCAGCTTGCAGTCAAAAAGTGTTGCAATTTTTCTTTCTGTGCATATCCTTTATATGGAGAAACTGCAAAGCAAAAAACATTATTGAAATCAATAAATAAAGCCTGACTCCAGCTACAACTTTTTATTACATTTTGGATTGAGCAGGGAAGTATTGGAGCCTATTTCAGGTTTTTGTCGCTCTATGTGTCCCTTTTGAAAAACATTTCCCCACTTGTAGGCAGGACAGAAAATCTCTCCAACAAGGACAAAAACAGAAACGCATTTCGAGTGGAGAAGGCTTAGATCCTCTGACAATTGTTTTATTGTTGTCTTTGCATCTCTGTTCCAATGGCAACTGCACACCCTATTTCTTGTATGGATATCAAGGGACAACAAATGAGGAAAAGTCTCCCCAATGGGGTCACAGACAGAAATAAAAACCCACCTTTTAAAACTGAACTCGGGCATAAGCAACTATTGTTTTAATACAAAAGGAATATGTATACAAATCTTGGAGTGTTTTGTGTATTTTTTCCAGATCTCTGCAATAACCCAGTGTGAAACGTTTCCTTTGTGCAGGAGTTTTCTGTAGTAAAGACTGGTCACTGCTGCTCTCTCTCCTCCTGTAAGGTGACTGGTCTTGTATCAGCCCCCTCCTATAATTTTCTACAGGCAGTCTGTAGTAAGTGATGCTATTGGGTCCTTCCTGCAGCTCTGCTCTCTGCACAGGCACAGTGATGATGTCATTGCTGATACTGCTGTCACAAAGTAACTTTGCAAACACATTTGGTGCACACAAAGTGGTTATATTTTCTTTGTAGCTATATAGGAATATATCTAAATGATTTTTTTTTGTGCCTGGAGTTTAGCTTTAACTCTTCCCCACTCCTTTCAAAACAAAAACAAAAACAAAAAACTTTTGGCTGGAGTGTAGTTCCACTTCTGAGGCCACATTTGAGAACACCCCACTATATTTTTTACCTATCTAGTTGTTTATTTGTAGGAGGATTATACACAGGACTGCAAGCTAGTCTGGACAATTTCAGAGGAACAATCTGGAGACAGACTGAGTTTATATCATTAACATGCAATGCAGAACTCAAGCCTTGAATGGGAATCTGCAACAAATTTAAAGTAGGTAGAGAGGATGTGGAATGTAGGGACTGTGCTGCATGGCAGCATCTAAATAAAGTTTGTTTTAAGCTTAACACACATTTTTATTTTACTTACAATTTCTTTTCTTTTTTTTTACTTCCTGGTCCACTTAGGCACAAATGATTTAGATATGCCCATTGCACCCTGCAGAGTATTGCTAGGGAATCTCATCTGTAATCTCATGAGAGCTCAGGGAAAGGAATTTTCCTCCTCCTGAGATGATGTGCATGGTCACATGTCCTGATCAAATGTACCAGAGTTCCACTAAGTAAAAGGGAGATCTAGTAACCTGTCGTTAGTTAAAATGGCCA